CGACGAGCACGTATATGCTGCTGACAAACATAGCACAACGGGTAGCGGTAAATCCCTGCGCCTCAGACCATTTGCCACTCTAAAAAGTATTTAAGCACCTTTACTGTGGCATGGAACTATACACAATCTGGTGCATGGGGTAGCCTAGAGGGTAAAGCGTTCACTCGTCACGCCGAAGACACGGGTTCGATTCCCCACATGGGTACAATGTGTGAAGTCCATTTTCTAGTGTCCCCCGCCGTGATATTGCTGGAATGTTGCTAAAATCGGCGTAAAACTAAACTCACTCACTCACTCACTCACTCATATACAGTCTTATCTTTCATAACATTTTTCCGACCATTTTACAGACAGTTGTGTCAATTGACAATCAGCTACGCCAATTATGTGATATTCATCACTGACAACAATGAAAACAATAACTGAACATCACAAACGCCTACGTTGTCAGTCGTATGGGAACCAGCCAAGTACAACCCCCCAAACACAGAGCCATGACGTCATCTGGATCAAACGCCCAAACTCTACGTGCTTGCTTCTGTGGTTCACAATATATCACGGTGTCCAGAGAGAGGCTTGTCCGTCATTCTGGCAGGTGTTCTCAGTCTGGCGTTACTAGTTACCTTGATCACCGCAAACACAGACCCAGGTATAACAGACGGACTATACTCCCCAACAACAGCCATTGGCCATCTCCAGGGAGTGTACCGACAATCACGAGCAGTCATTCTAGCTGTCTCCAGATTTCTATTTATGCTGCATTTTTCTGAAGAGGCTTCTCTGTTGCGCATCAGTCGTATGGTCGAACTTGGCTTTGAGCGCATGTAGCCTGCGTGAAACAAAACCTCCTACATTATTCTATTATTGACATCTAGCTGCAGTTAACGAAATTTCCTCTTGCAGATCAGACAATGCGAACACACAAAGGGATAATGGTAACTATAGACACTTGGACGGAGTTCTGTCTCCCTGAGCGAGTGGTTAAAAGTGTTCAGCAAGCGGTGCCGCATATCAACAGCTGAACCAGTTTAAATAGACTTGGGCGGGCATGATCTGATGCGGAATTAGTTCCACCAGGAGCATCTAAGCTGTTAGTCTTATCATTACCATCGCCATCGCCATCATCGTCGTCATCGTCATCATCGTCGTCGTCATCATCATCAAAGAAATGGATCATGGACATTCACTACATTTTACTGATATTGTATTTAAAATCATAGTATGATCCACGTCACCTTACAGGGTTGAATCTCATGCTGTTGATCACTGGGTTGTCTGGTCCAGACTTGATTATTTACAGACCCCCGCCCTATAGCTGGAATATTGCTGAGTGCGGCGTATAACATAACTCACTTACTCACCCTACAAGGCATGTGTGACCATGTCCCAGCAATATCATTACATGGGGCACCGGAAATGGCCGTGTCACATTATGTCCATGTGGGGAATCGAACCATGACCTTCGGCGTAATGGGCGAACGCTTCAGCCACTGGGCACTGGGAACGGAAAGAAGCGAGTAGGTGCTGGGAGACCAACAATTCAGAAAGTTAGAAGGTACACATGAAGGTTTGCTAATCAAATAATCACCGAATGCAGTTACGGATTCGTTGAAAACTGCACCAGAAACGATTACAATGGTTTGATTCCCTGTTCTATTGAAGTATATTCCTCTGTTACCATTGCCCAGCTTTGTTCGCGAATTCATAAAACCATCCACGCTCACTTGAATTGTTTGTATTAACTGCATCCTCATCGGATGCTGTTTCAATGCCAACAAAGTCGAAACTCAGCGACACTGACTTTTTATGCTGTACACACATCGCAAAATAATCATTCAATGGCTATACTGCAGTACACGCGTCACTACTTAAAGGGGAACTAACTCTGGGTGTACGTGATGATCAACACGGGTTTTGTTGAACATGTAGCAGTTATTATATCGCGTCACGTCTCCATGTAATCACGTGTGTGTCGACGTGTTTGCTCATCGCTCGTCAATAATTCACCAGTTGATTTCCAATTTGCATACCCGCCTTTCTGGCCATGTTTGCTGTACGCCATGCATACAACTATAATTATTCTGTACAAAACGACAATTGAATGGTATTGTTCTAGCCTGCTGGTGACGCTGGGTGAATCAGTGCTGCCAGATGGAAGAATGATTTACCTGGGATAAACGGCCTTCAGGGACCCTTCTTTCTGGTCAGCAATTGACTGATGTCCCTGGGGGACTCTCAAACTGGGTTCTGTCTCATTGTCATTAGGAATATTCATACAGAGGCCAGCGGCTGCTGGTGGTATCAGCGTAACTGTACAGATTCGCACAATGTCACTTAGTCCGACTGCGTTTAATGACTACAATCTGCATGCGCGCTGTACAAACTAACTGAAATTTAGTTCTATTTTTAGTATTATTTGTTAATTTAAGGCTCACTGCCATTAACAATACAATAAGAATGTGACCAAATATACTCTGACAGGCATCATTGTTGCTATGACAACTATTTTGACAATCATCATGAGACCACAACCACCAAATAAATATTTAGAACGAACCCAACATGTTCAAGTTTGATAACGTAACGCGGGGATATGCTGTGTCTGTGAATGGTGTGTAAGAACTCTCTAAGTTCTTAAATCAATATAATTTTTGCGGATGCATAAACGTCCAAGCCTCTGTACATATTCAGTGTGACCTATTTACACAGCATGCACACCTGTTGTTAGATGAAGCCTTCCAGTAAAGCATACCCCCCTAAAATATTTACGCGAGGGTGCCATTCCTCGGCTTACCAGGTAATTTCTCTCAGTATCGATATCCAATTTAAAATCTCGTCATATCAGTGTTCACAGTTGGTACAAGTAAATTAGACTGGAATTTCACATCTATTGCGTGACCATGCGTCCTCATAAGACTAGAGCACAATATTTTATTGATGTGTTACTCCTGGCAAGAAAAAGACAAAAAATATAACTCAGCATTGAAATATTGGCATCCGCGTACCAGATTAATATTTCACGTCCTCAAGCGTACTGCACTTAGGTTTAACAGTGCTACGCTTCCGGCTCTCTTGAGGAGGAACCACATGCGATATAGTTATTACCACGTAATCTCCAAGACTACAACACCACGTTAGGTAACAGGGTATAGATTCCGATAAATCCCCACAAATACCCTGGATGCATCCACGGCTCGGCCCGAAGTTTTTATTACCGCTAAGGTAACCGTAATCAGTGTATGAAATAAGCCAAAAACCCAACCAGACATCTGGGCTGGTAACTTCAAAAACTTACCAGCCCGGAAGAGATTTAACCAGTCCTTCTTAAATCCTAAATAGGCAGTGCCAGTGGACACGTTATCTGAATATATTTTTTCTTCCGTCCATCGGGCTGGCTAGCTGTAAAATTTGACCGTCCGGCAGAAATCTAGCCTGTCTTGGGCGGTCGGACGAGCCTTATTTCATACACTGCCGTAACTCGCACACCTAAAGGTAGTCTTTGCGCTAAGGTTGTTTTGTACAACAACACCCTGAACACTCCTGACAAGTCTTCGCACATCAGCCATACGGAGATCTGAAGCATTCGCCCCATTACGTAACCTGCACCCTCTTTGTCCCGGACACGAGCTTGTCGCCAAAGACAAACAAATGAGTCGTATTGAAATGTCTAACCAATCCACAGATGTAAAAGCCGAGGCCAGATATAAGCTAGTACTTCTTATAACAAACTTTGACCAATAACATCATTATAATAAGCCTAAAACTTCAGGGTGCAGTCAATAGGAAGATGGCTGTCTCTTTGAACTGTTTCAAAGGCCAGGCCTCCAGGCCTCTTGAAGGCCCCGAGGTTGCCCGAAAAACCTACCTACCTACCTACCTACCTACCTACCTACCTGCCTACCTACCTACCCACCCGAGGGTCGATATTCTCGAGTTGTGCGTGACTTCAGTGTGACGAGTGACCACTTTTACCATTAGGCTACACCGCCGCCCCCGAGGATACTGAAACTACCCACAAGATGTAATGGCAAGGTAGATACAGTACAGTAAATTTATATACAAAGGATTCGGGTGGTCCTTTACGTCTTTGGAGCTCTTTAGCGCAGTATAGATTGCGGTTCGCACATCATGGTAACGATGCATCGACAGTGTGTGTGACTATCGATAGTTAAGTTATTGACTTCCGTTGATAAATGCGCAGTGCAAAATACAGGAAACACCAGATTCGTTCACTTTGATTTAGAGTTATCCGCCCCTATTACCTCTCAAACAGAGTTTGAAAATGTGAATAACAACAAAGTTATGTTTTAACTGTTTACTTGATCAGTCTTTCAAGTTTCTTGTCAGTTACTAAAATAGACTGGAACCACTTCAGCTTGTTTTTATTTCATATAAACTATATATTCATTTGGGAAATGACTTCATATGATCCAATTCAAGAAGAGTGAAAACTATTGCAATAGTATTGCAATAGTTGGTCGTAATAGTACGTTGCAACAGACTATTGCTATCGCAATAGTTGTTTCCCCCTCAATAGTCACCCTGGGCCTATTATAGTCCGTGCTTTGGTATGAAGCTTGCTTGAGAAATTCAATACACTCTAGATAAGAAATGTGAAGCAATGATTTACAAAAATGCTATGCGAGGCAAAAGAAAATACACAGATTTTAAAAAAATCTAAACGCTGTCAAAATGTTACAAGAAAATCTACCCGTTTCACATCCGTCACCATCAAATACCCATTTCTTGTACTTTTCAATTTCAGGATAGGTGTATACTTTCTTTTGTCCGACACGTTACAACTGAACAGATTACAATACCATACTGACTGACTGAGTTTGGTTTTACGCCGCTTTTAGCAATATTCCAGCAACATCACGGCGGGGGACACCAGAAATGGGCTTCACACATTGTACCCATGTGGGGATTCGAACCCGGGTCCTCGGCGTGACGAGCCAACGCTTTAACCACTAGGCTACCCCACCGCCCCTACAATACCATAAATAGCGGAATAATATCAAGTGTGTTATGGGTAAGCCCCCTTAGACACAAAAGAAATAAATAATGAACAATTATGAAATCTAGATATCAAACTTACTAATACAAATATATACAATACAGATACAAATGTACGGTAAAATACTTATCATACACTACATTCCCGCCTGGTTTTAACATGGAGATACGAGTAGCTTATGTGAGACTTAGGCACTGTTCATAATCTATGTCTAGGTGGATGATGATCATTTTTATGGAGTTTGTGAAGTATGTACAAAGTGAATATATAAAATGTATGTAAGTAAGTGACCCCCTGGATTTCATGTACAAAATCAATGACACCCCCTATAGCACATGTGTATAAAGTTGACTCCCTCTCCCTTTACCTGCCCAGAACAACATGGGCGTATAGCAAAATAAACAACTTCGTATACCTGACAAAAGCTAGAGAAATAGACCCCAGATATGGAATCAGTATAAATCATCACTAATTCCGGGACGTAATAATGAATATCGGGAACATGACATCAAACAGTGAATGAAAACCGAAACTGGATTCCCCTTGAAACATCAGTTCGGACTTTTGGTGTTAGCGGAAGTCATCAGTATGACACGCAGACGCTGCGGTTGTCGCTCCCTCCAACCAGGAGGCTCTTTTCACGTTGTACGTGGTATGTATCGCTATCAGTGCAGTGCTCTCTTATTTTCGGTGTTGTTTGTTGGGAGATCCGGTTTATCCTTCAAGGAAACAAAGCATATATTGCAATTAAAGATCAGTTTAACACCTGCTGGTGTAGAGATAGTTCTAATTTCAGACCCCGGTATGTTGAGAGTGACGTATATTCAGAGGCTGGTATGTAGAGAGAGTGACGAATATTCAGAAACCGGTGTAGACAGTGTGCCGAATTTTGAGCGAACGGGATAGAGAGGTTGACGAATATTCAGAGGCCAGTGTCGAGAGAGATGATCACGGAGTGGTCTGTTTCTTTACCTTCTTGTTGTTCTTGTTGGCCTTCAGCAGGAGGTTGGCAGAGTACTCCGCGAGACAGGCCAACCCTGCAATCACTATACCGCCGACCAGGATGAAGAAGACGCCAGCCACGTTCTCAATCTGGAGTTCCATCGTCTCATCCGTTGACGACTTGGCGGGGTCCGGGCAGCTCTTGCTTCCCCACCACCTGCACCGGGGGAAGAAAATACATTCATTGAACATAAGAAGTTCACTTCCTCCACCACTCACCTGGATTATGCATGACGGTTTTACGTCGTATTTGGTAGCATTACAACACTCCCCAACTGTAATAATAATAATAATAAGTCATCTTCTACAGTGCAGTCTCCAACACCAAGTGATCGCTCACGGGGCTTTATCAGAATCTGATTATTATTACCCTGGATAACCCAAACTGCCTATTAGGCGCTAGAAGGTTATAGTCACATGACTTTATCCAACTGTACCCATGTGGGAGATGATATTCACAAAGGCAGCCTGTCTGATATGTCCCAGTGCCCTGCATTCTATCAATTATAGAAAGCTAGACTCGACACAAGCAGTTTCTTCTTCTCAGGTAAGTTAACCATACGTTTGGGAGTACAACCATGTGAGAACACACACTGACATATATTTTGATTTCATCTGAATGTATGCTAATGTAAATACCAGACATCTTTGAGGAATGTGACTAAGTCTAAACGGGGAAGCGTTCATTAGTGACGTCAGTCCCTTTAGGTGACGTTCAACACCTCAGTTTGTTTAATATGCAAAATTTGTGTCAACTTGATTTGATTTTTACAAAGAAACTAGCTACACGAGAATCCCGGAAGATTCCCCAGAGCATAACAAGTGTGATTTTCAAAGTGGCATCAGATCCATCTCAAATTCAAACAATACTAGTACAGGCAACCTTGAAACTTCAATATATATGTCATTGCAGCTTCGCTAACGACATCCACTACCACAACTTGCGACGTCACCACTGCCTCCACAACGCCTAATGCCTATGAAGCATCATCACAGTTAGTACATCGACTTGTGTCGGACTGAAAATGGACAAGGTACGGACGGCAGTACGTACAAATCCAGTCTGAGCCAGACAATCCAGTAATCGATATTGTGAACAACGCCCTAGTCCAAATCAGCAATCCTCTTGCTCGCCTCTGGAGACCCATTTCTCCCTGAATCCCGACATCATACCTAGGTAATACGTTCTGCCTCTGTAGCTACCTCCACTGAGCACACACCTTTGTTGGTACACAAGTGTACCTAACTGTACACGCATGTACCCATACTCACTTGTTCTCCAATTCTTGCAATACGCCTCTATCACCCAGCCTCAGTATGGTCATGGAGAGTTCTTCCAGATAAGTCGCCCCTGGTGGAACCCCTATTCCAAAACCTTTAGGGTCAAACGGTGGTCCTATCTCCATGACATCACAGTCTGTGGTTGTCTTATACTTGTTGACGGTGGAGTCCCAAAGGAAGGCATAGTTCCCATCCGTCACCTTGCCATAGCCTTCAGTTGCATTGTCCACCATGGAATCAGGTTCGATCTCTGACATCTGTGCCCACATCTTGGAGAAATGATCAATGTTTGTGTTGGCGAAGAAAGACGTGACGCCACTGTTCTTGACCGTTCCATACTTGATCTTGGTCTGCTGGGCCAGGTCTACGACCGATTTGATTGGGGTGTTGATCTTTTTGACCGTGAGGAATGCTGTAAGGTTGGCAGCGTAGAAGGAGAGTAGGATCATGGCGAAGAACCACCACGTACTGACCAGGATACGTCCAGGGATTGTGATCGGGCAAGCATCAGTGTTGCCTTGGAGCAGGGACCCGAATATGTACCAGAAACACTCCCTGACAGAGAACTGGGGATTGGTTCTCTGTTCGGTGGAACTGATTCTCTCCAAGATGTACAGGACGAAGCTGACGACAATGAAAGCTGCGAGGGTGCAGACCCAGACGGTGAGTGACAAGAGGTTGAAGAACTCGAAGTAGGACACCTTTCTCTGGGGAATCGTAATGAGGACGGTGATGTGCCGTGTCAAGAACGGCTTGGTGAAGTCAACGGCCTCCTCGCGACCGGAGTTGATGCTGAGGGGAGCAACCGACATCGTCGCTGCCTGGAAATATGGTCATATTTTGTTAGAATACGGTTCTAACACACAGACAAAATATTGGCTAATTGTATTTCCTTTGTAAATTGACCCGTTTTATTTGGTTTATAGTGTTTGAAACTCCGACTCATCCAAATTATATTTTTTGACTAATGACCACGATACCATTGTTCCTGGATTTCACTGAAAAGGTACAGATAAACAAATAGCATCTTGTGCCTCACCCCATCAAGCAACTCTTTTATCATGCCATTCCACTCGCCATCTTTCTTGCTGCCGAAGTTCCCATCAGGAACAAGGTAGATCTCAAAATTGAAACTCAGCGTCTCAGCCACGTGTGTCAGTAGATCGACGGCAAACCCCTCAAACCGGTCGTTACCGCGTCTCCTGGAATAGTCGCTCTTGTACATCGTGAAGGGCTTTTCCTGAAAAGGATCTACAGTTTACACAACTGCATGTTTCATGCATAAGAAAGAAAATACATAAGGCAGGTTGTATAAGGGAGACTACATAAGGCAGATAGTATAAGGGAGACTACATAAGGCAGGTTGCATCAGGGAGTGTATATAAGGCAGGTAGTATAAGGGAGACTACATAAGGCAGGTAGTATCAGGGACTGCATATAAGGCAAGTAGTATAAGGGAGTGTATATAAGCCAGGTAGCATGAGGGAGTCTATATAAGGCAGGTAGCATAAGGGAGTGTATATAAGGCAGGTAGCATACGGAGTCTATATACAGCTGGTTGTATAAGGGAGTCTATATACAGCTGGTTGTATAAGGGAGTCTTTATAAGGCAGGTTGTATAAGGGAGTCTATATAGGGCAGGTTGTATAAGGGAGTCTATATACAGCTGGTCGTTTAAGGGAGTCTATATACAGCTGGTTGTATAAGGGAGTCTATATAAGGTAGGTTGTATAAGGGAGTCTATATACAGCTGGTTGTATAAGGGAGTCTATATAAGGCAGGTTGTATGAGGGAGTCTATATAAGGCAGGTTGTATAAGGGAGACTACATAAGGCAGATAGTATAAGGGAGACTACATAAGGCAAGTTGCATTAGGGAGTGTATATAAGGCAGGTAGTATAAGGGAGACTACATAAGGCAGGTTGTATAAGGGACTGTATATAAGGCAAGTAGTATAAGGGAGTATATATAAGGCAGGTAGCATGAGGGAGTCTATGTAAGGCAGGTAGTATAAGGGAGTGTATATAAGGCAGGTAGTATAAGGGAGTGTATATAAGGCAGGTAGTATCAGGGAGACTACATAAGGCACGTTGTATAAGGGAGCGTATATAAGGCAGGTTGCATAAGGGAGTGTATATAAGGCAGATAGTATAAGGGAGACTACATAAGGCAGGTTGTATCAGGGAGTGTATATAAGGCAGGTAGTATAACGGAGTGTATATAAGGCAAGTAGTATAACGGAGTGTATATTAGGCAGGTAGCATGAGGGAGTCTATATAAGGCCGGTAGTATAACGGAGTGTATATAAGGCAGGTAGCATGAGGGAGTCTATATAAGGCAGGTAGTATAAGGGAGTGTATATAAGGCAGGTAGTATAAGGGAGACTACATAAGGCAGGTTGTATCAGGGAGTGTATATAAGGCAGGTAGTATAACGGAGTCTATATAAGGGAGGTAGTATAAGGGAGTGTATATAAGGCAGGTAGTATAACGGAGTGTATAGAAGGCAGGTAGTATAACGGAGTGTATATAAGGCAGGTAGTATAACGGAGTGTATATAAGCCAGGTAGCATGAGGGAATCTATATAAGGCAGGTAGTATAAGGGAACGTATATCAGGCAGGTAGTATCAGGGAGACTACATAAGGCAGATTGTATAAGGGAGTGTATATAAGGCAGGTAGCATAAGGGAGTGTATATAAGGCAGGTAGCATACGGAGTCTATATACAGCTGGTTGTATAAGGGAGTCTATATACAGCTGGTTGTATAAGGGAGTCCATATAAGGCAGGTTGTATAAGGGAGTCTATATACAGCTGGTCGTTTAAGGGAGTCTATATACAGCTGGTTGTATAAGGGAGTCTATATAAGGTAGGTTGTATAAGGGAGTCTATATACAGCTGGTTGTATAAGGGAGTCTATATAAGGCAGGTTGTATGAGGGAGTCTATATAAGGCAGGTTGTATAAGGGAGTCTATATACAGCTGGTTGTATAAGGGAGTCCATATAAGGCAGGTTGTATAAGGGAGTCTATATACAGCTGGTTGTATAAAGGAGTCTATATAGGTCAGGTTGTATACGGGAGTCTGTATACAGCTGGTTGTATAAGGGAGTCTATATAAGGTAGCTTGTATAAGGGAGTCTATATTCCGCTGGTTCTATAAGGGAGTCTGTATAAGGCAGGTTGTATAAGGGAGTACATATAAGGCAGGTTGTATAATGGAGTCTATATAAGGTACGTTGTATAAGGGAGTCTGTATACAGGTGGTTGTATAAGGGAGTTTATATAAGGTAGGTTGTATAAGGGAGTCTACATGCAGCTTGTTGTATAAGGGAGTCTACATAAGGCAGGCTCTATAAGGCAGTCTATATAAGGCAGGTTGTATAAGGAAGTCTACATAAGGCAGGTTGTATTATTGAGTCTATATAAGGCAGGTTGCATAAGAAAGTCTATATCAGGTGGTTGGTTTAAGGGAGTCTATATAAAGCAGGTTTTATAATGGGGTCTATATAAGGCTGGTTGTATAATGGAGTCTATATAAGGCAGGGTGTATAAGGGAGTCTATATAAGGCAGGTTGTATTAGGGTGTCTAAATAAGGCAGGTTGTATAAGGGAGTCTATGTATAAGGAGTATATATATAAGGCAGGTTGTATAAAGGGAGTCTGAATATATAAGGGAGTCTAGCAGGTTCCATAATGGAGTCTGTATAATGGGAGTCTATATAAGGCAGGTTGTATAAGCTGGTTGTATAAAGGAGTCTATATAAGCTGGTTGTATAATGGAGTCTATATAGGTAGGTTGTATAAGGGAGTCTATATATAAGGCAGGTTGTATAAGGGAGTCTATATACAGCTGGTTGTATAAAAGGGAGTCTATATAAGAGCTGGTTGTATAAGCTGGTTGGAGTCTATATAAGGCAGGTTGTATAAGGGAGTCTATATACAGGCAGGTTGTATAAAAGGGAGAGTCTATATAAGGCAGGTTGTATAAGGAGTCTATATAAGGCAGGTTGTATAATGGAGTCTATATACAGCTGGTTGTATAAGGGAGTCTATATATAAGAGCTATATAAGGCAGGTTGTATAAGGTAGTCTATATAAGGGAGGAATATATTAAGGCAAGTTGTATAATGGAGTCTATATAAGGCAGGTTGTATAAGGAGTCTAATATAAGGCAGGTTAATAAAGTATAGGCCAGGGAGTATAAGGGAGTCTATATACAGCTGGTTGTATAAAGGGGAGTCTATATAAGGCAGGTTGTATAAAGGAGTCTATATAAGGCAGGTTGTATAAGGAGGAGTCTATATACAAGGTTGTATAATGGAGGTTTATATAAGCTGGTTGTATAATGGAGTCTATATAAAAGGTTTTATAATGGGTCTGTATAAGGCTGGGAGTCTATATAAGGCAGGTTGTATAAGGGAGTCTATATAATGGAGACAGGTTGTATAAGGGAGTCTATATAAGGCTGGTAGTATAGGTTGTATAAGAGGAGTCTATATACAGGAGTCTATATAAGGCAGGTTGTATAATGGAGTCTATATAAGGCAGTCTATATAAAGGCAGGTTGGTTGTATAAGGGAGTATATATATAAGGCTGGTTGTATAAGAGGTAGTCTATATAATGGAGTCTATATAAGGCTGGTTGTATACAGGAGTCTATATATGGAGTCTATATAAGTTGTATAAGAGTCTATATAAGGCAGGTTGTATGGAGTCTATATATAGGGAGGTATGTATAATGGAGTCTATATAAGGCAGGGTATAAGGGAGTTTTATAATGGAGTCTATATATATAAGGCAGGTTGTATAAGGGAGTCTATATAAGGCTGGTAGTATATAGCAGGGAGTCTATATAAGGCAGGTTGTATATAAGGGAGTCAGGTAGTATAATATATAAGGCAGGTTGTATAAGGGAGTCTATATAAAGGTATAATGGAACTACATAAGGCAGGTAGTATAAGGGAGACTATATAAGGCAGGTTGTATAAGGGAGTCTATATAAGGCTGGTAGTATACAGGAGTCTATATAAGGCAGGTAGTATAATGGAGTCTATATAAGGCAGGTTGTATAAGGGAGTCTATATAAGGCTGGTTGTATAAGGGAGTCTATATACAGCTGGTTTTATAAGGGAGTCTATATACAGCTGGTTGTATAAGGGAGTATAAGCCTGACCGTTTGCTGTCACCACCATTACTTACTATAATCATGACGACCTTGACCGTGCGACCTTTTAGGGGGAAAATATTTCGTCGCTTTGGGGGACCTTGAGACTTGTTGTGGAGAAGGTAACTGTGAGACGGACGCTTCAGCCACTCCCCGTGCTGGAATCAAAATAACGGTTCATGTAATTGTCTTCATTAAACAACACTAGTTTTAACACTGGATGGTGACGAATGATAAACATATACACTGATATTAATACTAAATTGTGACAAATCTAATAGTTTCTACAATTTTTCAGCAGCATTACAGAGTTTCATTGATGGATTTAGTTTGCTGTTACAAGCGGTAGAAACCATAGATTTTGTTAGATGAATGGCCAAGGCGCTCTACTATCAATCACGTCATTTACCATAAAAGGTCAAACTAAGAGCATGTTTGAAATAGAGACATTTTCGTAGTACGAGCTCTATTTGAAACTCATGTAAATCAGGTAATGTCAGCTCATATTCTCAAGACGCTCCCGCATTCGACGAGGCATACTCCTTATCATACCCCACACCATTACTGAGCCGTCCCCTAAATACTCATTTTGTGTTGTAGTAAACGTTAATTCATCCTTAAACATAACGTTCCCCGGTGACGATTGGTCTAGCGCCTCCGCACACCAACGACGACTTGCAGTAATATGACAGTAGTACACTCGTCAGTAGAAGGATAAGTCACTGAAGTCGCTCATACAGGTTTCTATATATCGGTTGTATTAGCACGTAGGCAGTCAGGGGGATGGTAAATGTGAGTCGGAGGGATGCATATGGTAACTGTAGGGGATGGTAACTGTGGGTCGGGGGATGGTGAGCGTAGGGTGGGATAGTAAGTGTGGGTCGGGGAAATGGTAACTGTGGGTCGGGGGAATGGTAACTGTCAGTCGGGGATGGTAACTGTGAGTCGGGGGATGGTAACTGTGAGTCTGGGATGGTAAGTGTAGGGTGGGATAATAAGTGTGGGTCGGGGGTGGGGTGGTAACTATGGGGGTGGTAACTGTGAGTCTGGGGAATGGTAACTGTCAGTCGGGGATGGTAACTGTGGGGATGGTAACTATGGGGATGGTCACTGTGAGTCAGGGGATAGTAACTGTGGGGATAGTAACTATGGGGATGGTAACTATGGGGATGGTAACTGTGAGTCGGGGATGGTAACTGTGGGGATGGTAACTATGGGGGTGGTAACTATGGGGATGGTAACTGTGAGTCGGGGGATGGTAACTAGGGGATGGTAACTATGGGGGTGGTAACTGTGGGGATGGTAACTATGGGGATGGTAACTGTGAGTCAGGGGGATGGTAACTATGGGGATGGTAACTGTCAGTCGGGGGTTTGTTAAGTGTAGGGTGGGATAGTAAGTGTCAGTCGGTGGGTGGTAATTATCGGGGATGGTAACTGTGAGTCGGGGGGAGATGGTAACTGTGTCGGGGGTCGTAAGTGTGTTTGGGGGGGAGAAAGAGAGAGAGAGGAGATTATATGTTATATGACTGATTTTATCATACATCAACATACCATTTATTTAACCTTACAAAATAACACCAGTATATCACCGTTATATACATATTTAATGACATACACAAGTTCGAACGGTACGACATCGCAGTAGACACCTTCGCGATGAACAGCAGCGTCATGGGAGAAAACTCCTAACTGACTCACGGGATAGCTGTTAATACCACTCACCGGGTAATTCTCGTTGCCCGTGTAGCCAGTTAGATAGACGGTGAAGTTAGACCTCTTGCCGTGAGTGTCTAACTGGAGGCAACCAGTCAAACCGACCTCTTGATTCTGAAAAAAATGCAAAACCGTTTAAATAAAACAAGAGGACAAAGTCATCGATACCCCCTTCAGTTGAAAATGACTGTCTAAACGTTAACCAATTATAGTTGTATATAGATTGCATGTTAAATGCAAAGGTACTTTCAACCAACAGAATATATATAATTATTACCCACGAGGGCTAAAATATAGTATGACTTGGGCACTCATATAATATCCTCTATTTATTGTTCATAACACTCATTATGTCCTAATTATATACAGAGGATATTATATGAGTGCCCATGTTATAGTATGTTTACGACACGAGTGCCTAAATGTTGGTATTTCCCGAGCGAGAGCGAGGGATATGCCGATATTTAGGCACGAGTGTCGTGAACATAGTATGATATGGGCACGAATATAATATTCTGTTTATTACCGAAGTCGTCAAACTGAGGAACATAAACCCAAATCTACTTTCAAAGATTGGAAAATAAACCTAAATCTATAGCTACTTTCAAAGATTGGCTACCATTCGATGCCCTCGTATGAAAACTATTGTATGAACCCCGATATTTTCGCCCTCGTAGGTAATAAATTCAATTTTCATTCTACCGTGACATTTAAGTATGTTCGTTTTTTATTGGCTGTTACTAAAAATTAAGAAGTGATAAATTTTCAATAAACACAGAAACGGTTAACTGAGAGCCGGTTAACTGCGCGTAGTGTCAAAACACCACGCAAGGGTAATGAGTGCATATTTAAAACGCGTTTTATGCATGGTGCATATGTCATGGTAGAATGGAGATAATCCTATTGTGTTTACATTTTGGAAGTGATTATAGTTGGTTGAACGCTGCTATTTTACATTTTGGAAGTGATTATAGTTGAGTGAACGCTGCTATTTAGCAGCGTTCAACCAACTATAATCACTATTTAGCAGCGTTCAACCAACTATAATCACTTCCAAAATGTAAACACAATAGGATTATCTCCTAATTATCTACTTGTTTTAGATAATAGAACCTGTGTAATATACTTCACTGTTCATACATCCTATCGCGCCTGTAGCAGGTTTCACTATTAATAGTGAGTGAGTGAGTTTACTTTTATGCCGTCCAAGCAATATTCAAGCAACTTTTTTATTTCACTAAAATAGGTCGCAGACTCCGACGTTCTATGAATGATGAACTTACAAAAAGTGAAAGTCAGTTCTTAAACTTTTTACATTTTTCACGAATTTAATGATTTCAAAGTTCCCATTCATATAAACTAATTATAATTCTCACCGTTATTTCACTTTAATTTATGATCAGTCCTATGATGGATAGTAAAAGTCGGCTTTTGACTTGCCAATGCGAGTGTTTGTGACGCAAAAACCTGGTATCATCACAATTTAATAGTGATTCATAAACACGCTCTCATTATCGTTAAATACGTATGTCCTCTGAACTGAGTGTATCCGCCACTAAACAAAGAAATCAGTCGTGTTGTTGTTTAGGTGGACAATTGACTTGCCATTGCGAGTGTTTGTGACGCAGAAACCTGGTATCATCACAATTTATAGTGATTCATAAACACACATTACATTAAAGTCGAAACCGGGGATTCCTAATAGAATTGATTACGATTATGGTTAGGATTTTGTGTTGAACTATGAGACGGCAAACATTTACTGAAGAAGATATACCCGTGAAGTGCTTACCGCTGAAGCCTGCAGGTAAACTATAACACACATTAACACAGGACTAACGGAAGGCCGTGTGACTTACACTCTTGATGGTGTTCAGGAGATTGTCATTTGTCTGTTTACTGGACGCTATCAGAAGCTGCATGGCGTCGTGGGCGAGGGCGTACTCAAGCTTCCTCTGGTTGATGTGGCTGTTGTTGTTGAGGTTGGTCATGTCGCTGACGGAGGAGTTATAAGGCAACAAGGAGAACACAGTGAAGTTGACGGCGATGTCTCGGTAAGGCTCGAACAGGTCGCCGATAGCGTAACCCTAAACGTAACAGGAGTGATATTAACTCATTTAGTTTTACGCCGCTTATAGCAATATTCAAGCAATATCACGGCGGGGGACACCAGAAATGGGCTTCACACATTGTACCCATGTGGGGAATCGAAACAACAAGCGCCACCCCACCACCTTTTGAGTGATAGCGGTCAAACACATATTTTATTGCAGGAATATGTCGTAGTTACATATAGTCTATGTGTATAACGCCATCTTGAATAGTCGTCTAGTTTCATCACCCTAGAAATGGGCTTCACACAGTGTGCCCATGTGGGGAATCGAACCTGGGTCTTCGGCTTCACCATATCCCCTGAGCGGAGGAAGTGTTGACGAGAAAAGGCCTCGAGTAAATTGGTTAGGATTTCTTTATTATACTCCCTAATATAGCATGGTAGTGGGATACATGTCCCCATTGTCCACATTCCACCTGCTTTGGATGTGTTCCAGATCTAAACACGGAAACGAATCGTATCGAAACATCTGGTTTGAATTTACTATCATTAGATCTTTAGGGATGTTTGCTCAATTTCTGTGATACAATATGTCTGTTTACAAAACGTGGACAAACCGATATGGTGTACATATTCCATGTCCTGGTAGATATTTCATGTTTTGCAAGAAGCAAATTGAAAACACACACTCAGGATGTACCGATAAACAATAATTGTTTGGATTTATTTATAATATGTATAATTCAACACACGTAAGGCGCATATACCCATGGCTGATTGCATGCTCACAGCCCACAGTGACAAAGGGATTGGGAGAAGAGATAGGTCATAAGTAGTGACCTAGAAAGAGTCAAGTCTGTACAGTCTCTCAGGTGTTGTGGCAGGCTGTTCCATAGGATTGATGCTGTGTCAGTAAAAGTCCTTTTGCCATGTTATGATGTTCTTATTTTGACAGGTTTTAATTTTCTGAGCGAAGGGGTCGGCTTGGAGTATTTATTTAAATCTAAATAATTATGTACGGTAGAAATGTGGTCAAAACCATATTTCATCACTGCGTAGCGTGGCATTTAGAAGATAGTTATACAGCTTCTTTATTACGATATATGCGACGTTTCGGACGCAATCATCAAACGTTGCAAACATGGTAATAAAGAAGTTGTATATCCATAGAACTATCCATTTTGTTTATACTCCACCAAATATTCTGATAAATATCTGAATATGTTCTCGCAATCTTTCATATTTTAGGAATATATTGCAAATGGGATCGAGATTACCGATTTTCAACTGTCTCATTAAAATCAGGTCTGTAAACTTGATACGGTACATCATTGCGTGAAGATCGGAAAACTATGTGGGTCTCGTCCGGAAAAGAAAGACTATTTTATGGACGTCAAGTTCTTTATTATAAAGGAACATAACGTTTTGGAGTATATGCTTACTCCTTCATCAAGTGAATGAATGCTATGATACAGAGAGCATATATATGTACATGTAAGAACAACAAATTCAATTTAGATACTTTACGATGCAATTAGACTAACATCTCGTCTCTGAAATGAACGTCTTTTACAGAAAAAAGAAAAAACGGTTCCTAAATTATAATCATTAAATATAATGAAAGCATCCCAGAGACCTTCATTTTCAGAAACTGTGGTTTTCTAGACTTGCCACATATTCTAGATTTGCATGGACTTTCTTGGATATATTTGTTTGAGAGTCTGTGAGACAAACTACGATGTAATTATATGTGGTGTGAGTGTGTTGGGTTTAACATTTATCAAGGCGCGTAAAATAAACTGGGCAAAGCCTAACGACAGAACTGGGGCGTGCCGGCTAACCGAAGATTGTGGGTTCGATTAGCCGGTAACTGTATTAACTTTCTCTCAATCAATCTGTAGTGTTTCCCCCATGATCCAAAAAGGGCAGGGAGACAGAATTTCAAAAGGGGCACCCCTGTTCCATAAAGAGCTTGCAATGACAGATTTCAAGTTATTCATGAATATGATTCTTAAATACTCAAAGAACACAGATTTTACCCGTAACTTCAACATGAAAGAGAAGCTAAAAACCACCAAGCGTTGAAATAAATTATTGTACTAAAAAGAAGGACAGGGCACCAAACAAAAAGTGCAGGGTGCCAAATAAAGACGTGGTGCTGTAACCTGCTAAAAATGCCTTGGAGAAATACTAATCTGTCTGTCAGCATGCATTTCCTGTTCTAGTAGATATCTTCTCCATTTGTTTGTTTGCGATTCAACATCCTTCCAGTGTACAGGAGATAACGTTCAACTTAACAAAAGGAAATTCTGCACGTATAACAAAGGCACACATATCCGTGCACGACAGTTACAAAGCCAGATTTCTATATATATATATATATATAATTCTGTTTTCTTTCAGGTCCCAGAACTAATCGGCATCAGTTGTTGTGAGCTCGCGAATTTCTTTACGATTCTACTAACATTTTAGAATTTCAAGAGACTTATACAAATAACCTTACTCTATGTTTAATAAAGTCAGTGTTGTAAGACCAATGAAATCAACGTCGCAAAATATATGTGATCGAAATGGTACGACACAAATGCCACTACGCTACCTCGGAGAATAATTGGTTTTGCCAGATTGCGACTTCTTCTTTATGTTAAGTCTATTTTGTATTTCGATTCTATCTGTTAAAGTTCAATGGGGCGGTGGGGTAGCCTAGTGGTTAAAGCGTTTGCTCGTAACGCCGAAGACCCGGGTTCGATTCCCTACATTTGTACAATGTGTGAAGCCAATTTCTGGTGTCCCCCGCCGTGATATTGCTCGAATATTGTTAAAAGCGGCGTAAAACTAATATAAACTCACTCACTCATTAATGCTCAGTGCATGCTAGATTTTAGTTTATCTGTCTTCCTAAGATGTGAATAGGCCCCCAGCACATTGCTTAGGGTATATTCAGTTTACATATCGCAAAGTTACGCTAAGAGTCCTCCTTGCCATTGTTTCGTTGTGGGAACTGACGTCCCTATATTCAGTAAGCTCCCACAGAATTTCTCTCGCACATGTCTGTACTTTGATTAGATAGCTATTTTTAGATTCCTGCCATTCGAATCCGACAAGTAACGAATGGTAGTTTGGTGTTAGCTTTAATGTCCTCTTAAAGTTCGTTTCGTGCCATCATTATTTGTTAACACATGTATATACTTTTGTACATTTTGTTATCACATTTCATATCTGTAAATACCCAAGTGTTATGCTATATTTGTGTGTATTTATACACAACACTGATTGGTCAGACTCAGGAAGGAACACTGGTCCTCCATCGTCTAAAGAACTGGACACTGTACAGAGTTGCATCCCTTTGGTGTACCAGAAACACGTGATACTTGTTCTAATCTCAGATATCTTCTGATTCTATTTGGGTTTTTTGCTGTTTAACGCCACACTCAGCAATGTTCCAGCTATATGGCGTCGGTCTGTAAATAATTGAGTCTAAACCAGACAGTCCAGTGATCAATAGCATTAACATCGATCTGTAGACACACTTGGGATACGATTACATGTGTCAACCAAGTCAGCGAGCCTGACCACCCGACCCCTTTAGTCGCCTCTTACGATAAGCATGGGTTGCTGAAGATCAATTCTTACCCGGATCTTCACGGGTCATACTAATTGTAGGTTTGTCAAGGCCATCCTGGTGTATCCAACTCACTCAATCAGTCTGAAGTGACAGCGCAATTATACGTACCGGATCGTAGAAGCCCCATTCGTACGGAGGCGTTGACAACATGGCGAGATTGCGAGCCTGGGAAAGAAGCATGTCGTAGATTAGCAAGCATCATTATCACAGCGGGGCAGGTCATACGAAATAGGGACGGCTCAAAGTGCGTGGAAATAGGGTTATGTGCTAATGAAAGCACATAAACATAAATTCGGTGTTTAAAGGTCACATGTAACCAAAAAATCAAACATAATTAAAACACAATTATCACTTATTCATGACATATAATATACATTGCTGGTTATGAAAAAACATATAAACAAAATTATAAGCGTACAATTGCAAATCAAAAGTGCAATATTGTGTACTTCGGTTTACTTCCCAAGAAACGAAGCAGCCGGGATACCGAACCCAGTCAGAGCGGGTGGGTGTGCACTCAAGTGTAACGGCTGGTTCATTTGCAGATGCCCTCACGGCTCATTGTGTGTATATATATAGAGAGATGTTGGGTTTTGTAAATACATGCTCATTTTTTGTGTATAACATTTTGCAATCAACAGACATCATAACATGTCATGTGTTCAAGTATCACATCTGCCTGTCTGTGTAATTACATAATGTGACAGAGACCGAACTCGGGCCATAAATCAATGCGTTTTGTTTATGGTGTATAGCCTGATTGGTGTTAAGTTCAAATTGTATGTGGTCAGTGATCGCAGTTGTGTATTGAATATTGTCATTAGCAGACAAGCAGGCAGACACACAGGTGTCAATAAAACAAGACATTGAGTTTTGTCTGTGACAACGACATATCTATATCACAGTTAGAAATTGTGTCAACGCTAAATAATGACATTGCTTTTAAGTATCGAACTGAGAAAGTGACTCGGTAAGAAGAACGTGTGGTGAAATAGACAAATGAAATTATATAAACAGTTAATTTACTGTCATAACATATAAAAAGCTCGCGCCTGTGAGATATCAACAAAACATTAGGAAAATAGCTCACACCAAAGCCTTCACCGAGTATTCACCGGACAGCCCGCTTCCAAGTTGAGCGAACCTATTTCACTGCGCACGTGCTATGAGCGCAGCCCAGCTGATGAAACCAGTTTTCCCCCGAAAAGTCGGGGGAAAATTAGTGAATCGTTTGAACTACGATTTCTCGCGGTTTTTTTCATCGCGTTATTTTTCAACTTTATAAGTTGAATTTGCATTTTTGATGATTTGTTCAGAATCTGCAACGTTGTGTTTTACGTTGCATGTGACCTTTAAAGTTTGCGTTAAATGATAAGCTCATATACTCGTTGCTTATTGTAATTAGCAATTACAAATGTATTTTTCATTGAAACGGCTACTTACCGCCCTCTCTCAGTAATTCGTTGATAAAATGTGAATTAATAGATGGGCTGGTTTGGTGGTCACTGAGCTGGGACAACTTTACAAAGGCCCAGTCTCTTAGATTTATTTGCATTGAATACTCTGTTTGGTAAAATCTGCCAGAATGAATGGCATGAACAAGGAAGATGGAGTACATTAGGGTACCGCCGTTATGTAGCTGAAATATGGCTGAGTGCGGCCATAAACAATAATAGGAATAAACAAATAATTTAGAGTGTTCATCAAGGTTAGATATGGTGTCGTCCAGAAATCGCAGCCTATTCTAAACCTCTGTTTTCACCTCTATCGTCACACATTTGTATTCATCGTATATCACTTTGATAATATTTACAAAAGAACAGAAAGTGGATGATGGTTTTATTCATACGAATAGCTCAATTCAGTCAAAACAGTTCATGTCTGAAAGCCAACACTCGTATTCGTGTGATAGGTGAGTCACATTTGTTTATCATTTTCTTGATTTTTGTCAGTAATATAACCTGTGTATCCACATTACCTCGGCTCCAGTGTATATCAGCTGTATTGCCATGTACATGTCTAGATACTGTCGGTAATATAACCTGTATATCCACATTTCTGTATTAATCTTCAGTATATCAGACGGGTCTGGCTTAACTCGGCTCCAGTGTATATCAGCTGTATTGCCATGTACATGTCTAGATACTGTCAGTAATATAACCTGTATATACACATTCCTATATTAATCTTCAGTATAACAGACGGGCCTGGATTAACGAAGCTCCAGTGTACATCAGCTGTATTGTAATGTACATGTCTAGATGCTGTCAGTACTATAACCTGTATATACACATTCCTATATAAATCTTCAGTATTAAAGACGGGTCTGGATTAACGTGGCTCCAGTGTATATCAGCTATATTGTAATGTACATGTCTAGATACTGTCAATAATAGAACATGTATATACACATTCCTATATTAATCTTCAGTATTACAGACGGGCCTAGCTTAACCCGGCTCCAGTGTATATCAGCTGTATTACCATGTACATGTCTAGATACTGTCAGTAATATAACCTGTATATCCACATTCCTATATAAATCTTCAGTATAACAGACGGGTCTGGATTAAAGAGGCTCCAGTGTATATCAGCTGTATTGTCATGTACATGTCTAGATGCTGTCAGTAATATAACCTGTATATACACATTCCTATATTAATCTTCAGTATTACAGACGGGCCTAGCTTAACCCGGCTCCAGTGTATATCAGCTGTATTACCATGTACATGTCTAGATACTGTCAGTAATATAACCTGTATTCCTATATTAATCTTCAGTATACAGACGGGCCTAGATTGCTCCAGTGTATATCAGCTGTATTGTAATGTACATGTCTAGATCTGTCAGTACTATAACCTGACATTCCTATATAAATCTTCAGTATAACAGACGGGTCTGGATTAACGTGGCTCCAGTGTATATCAGCTGTATTGTAATGTACATGTCTAGATGCTGTCAGTAATATAACCTGTATATACACATTCCTATATTCAGTAATGCTGGTGATCTTCAGTATTAGCCATTACAGTACTGGTAACCTGGATTAACGTGGCTCCAGTGTATTAGTCAGCTTAATATTGTAATGTACCATGTCTAGATACTGTCAGTAATATAACCTGTATATACACATTCCTATATTAATCTTCTTAACAGACGGGCCTGGATTACAGTGATCAGCTGTATTGTAATGTATGTCTAGATGCTGTCAGTAATATAACCATTCCTATGTAATCTTATCAGCTGTGTATATCAGCTGTATTGCCATGTACATGTCTAGATACTGTCAGTAATATAACCTGTATATCCACACATTCCTATATTAATCTTCAGTATAACAGACGGGTCTGGATTAACGAGGCTCCAGTGTATATCAGCTGTATTGTCATGTACATGTCTAGATACTGTCAGTAATATAACCTGTATATACACATTCCTATATTAATCTTCAGTATATACAGACGGGTCTGATTAACCCGGCTCCAGTGTACATCAGCTGTATTGCCATGTACATGTCTAGATACTGTCAGTAATATAACCTGTATATACACATTCCTATATTGATCTTCAGTATAACAGACGGGTCTGGCTTAACGAGGCTCCAGTGTATATCAGCTGTATTGCCATGTACAGCTCAGTAATATAACCTGTATATACACATTCCTATATTAATCTTCAGTAATACAGACGCTCAAGATCAGTTGTATTGCCATGTACATGTCTAGGTACTGTCAGTAATATAACCTGTATATACACATTCCCTATATTAATCTTCAGTATAACAGACGGGCCTGGTATATAACATATTCCTTAACTGGATTAACGAAGCTCCAGTGTACATCAGCTGTATTGTAATGTACATGTCTAGATACTGTCAGTAATATAACATGTATATACACATTCCTATATTAATCTTCAGTATAACAGACGGGTCTGGCTTAACTCGGCTCCAGTGTACATCAGCTGTATTGCCATGTACATGTCTAGGTACTGTCAGTAATATAACCTGTATGTACACATTCCTATATTAATCTTCAGTATAACAGACGGGTCTGGATTAACCAGTGTATATTAGCTGTATTGCTACATGTACATGTCTAGATACTGTCAGTAATATAACCTGTATCTCCACATTCCTATATTAATCTTCAGTATTACAGACGCTCTAGATTAACGAGGCTCCAGTGTACATCAGTTGTATTGCCATGTACATGTCTAGGTACTGTCAGTAACATAACCTGTATATACACATTCCTATAATGATCTTCAGTATAACAGACGGGTCTGGCTTAACTCGGCTCCAGTGTGTATCAGATGTATTGCCATGTACATGTCTAGATACTGTCAGTAATATAACCTCTATATACACATTCCTATATTAATCTTCAGTATAACAGACAGGTCTGGCTTAACTCGGCTCCAGTATATATCAGCTGTATTGCCATGTACATGTCTAGATACTGTCAGTAATATAACCTGTATATACACATTCCTATATTAATCTTCAGTATAACAGACGGGTCTGTGTTAACGAGGCTCCATTGTATATTAGCTGTATTGCCATGCACATGTCTAGATACTGTCAGTAATATAACCTGTATCTCCACATTCAAATATTAATCTTCAGTATAACAGACGGGTCTCGATTAAAGAGGCTCCAGTGTATATCAGCTGTATTGTCATGTACATGTCTAGATACTGTCAGTAATATAACCTGTATATACACATTCCTATATAAATCTTCAGTATTAAAGACGGGTCTGGATTAACGAGGCTCCAGTGTACATCAGCTGTATTGTAATGTACATGTCTAGATACTGTCAATAATATAACCTGTATATACACATTCCTATATAAATCTTCAGTATTAAAGACGGGTCTGGATTAACGTGGCTCCAGTGTATATCAGCTGCATTACCATGTACATGTCTAGATACTGTCAGTAATATAACCTGTATATACACATTCCTATATTAATCTTCAGTATTACAGACGGGCCTAGCTTAACCCGGCTCCACTGTATATCAGCTGTATTGCCATGTACATGTCTAGATACTGTCAGTAATATAACCTGTATATACACATTCCTATATTAATCTTCAGTATAACAGACGGGTCTCGATTAACGAGGCTCCAGTGTATATCAGCTGTATTGCCATGTACATGTCTAGATACTGTCAGTAATATAACCTGTATCTCCACATTCCTATATTAATCTTCAGTAATACAGACGCTCAAGATTAACGAGGCTCCAGTGTACATCAGTTGTATTGCCATGTACATGTCTAGGTACTGTCAGTAATATAACCTGTATATACACATTCCTATATTGATCTTCAGTATAACAGACGGGTCTGGCTTAACCCGGCTCCCGTGTATATCAGCTGTATTACCATGTACATGTCTACATACTGTCAGTAATATAACATGTATATACACATTCCTATATTAATCTTCAGTATTACAGACGGGCCTGGATTAACGAAGCTCCAGTGTACATCAGCTGTATTGTAATGTACATGTCTAGATACTGTCAGTAATATAACATGTATATACACATTCCTATATTAATCTTCAGTATTACAGACGGGCCTGGATTAACGAAGCTCCAGTGTATATCAGCTGTATTGCCATGTACATGTCTAGGTACTGTCAGTAATATAACCTGTATGTACACATTCCTATATTAATCTTCAGTATAACAGACGGGTCTGGATTAACGAGGTTCCAGTGTACATCAGTTGTATTGCCATGTACATGTCTAAGTACTGTCAGTAACATAACCTGTATATACACATTCCTATAATGATCTTCAGTATAACAGACGGGTCTGGCTTAACTCGGCTCCAGTGTACATCAGCTGTATTGTAATGTACATGTCTAGATACTGTCAGTAATATAACCCGTATGTACACATTCCTATATTAATCTTCAGTATAACAGACGGGTCTGGATTAACGAGGTTCCAGTGTATATTAGCTGTATTGCCATGTACATGTCTAGATACTGTCAGTAATATAACCTGTATATACACATTCCTATATTAATCTTCAGTATTACAGACGCTCTAGATTAACGAGGCTCCAGTGTACATCAGTTGTATTGCCATGTACATGTCTAGGTACTGTCAGTAACATAACCTGTATATACACATTCCTATAATGATCTTCAGTATAACAGACGGGTCTGGCTTAACTCGGCTCCAGTGTATATCAGATGTATTGCCATGTACATGTCTAGATACTGTCAGTAATATAACCTCTATATACACATTTCTATATTAATTTTCAGTATAACAGACGGGTCTGGCTTAACTCGGCTCCAGTGTATATCAGCTGTATTGCCATGTACATGTCTAGATACTGTCAGTAATATAACCTGTATATACACATTCCTATATTAATCTTCAGTATAACAGACGGGTCTGTGTTAACGAGGCTCCATTGTATATTAGCTGTATTGCCATGTACATGTCTAGATACTGTCAGTAATATAACCTGTATATACACATTCCTATATTAATCTTCAGTATAACAGACGGGTCTGGCTTAACTCGGCTCCAGTGTATATCAGCTGTATTGCCATGTACATGTCTAGATACTGTCAGTAATATAACCTGTATATCCACATTCCTGTATTAATCTTCGGTATTACAGACGCTCTGGACTAACGAGGCTCCAGTGTATATCAGAGGTATTGCCATGTACATGTCTAGATACTGTCAGTAATATAACCTCTATATACACATTCCTGTATTTATCTTCAATATTACAGACGGGTCTGGATTAACGAGGCTCCATTGTATATCAGCTGTATTGCCATGTACATGTCTAGAGACTGTCAGTAATATAACCTGTATATACACATTCCTGTATTAATCTTCAGTATTACAGACGGGTCTGAATTAACGACGCTCCAGTGTACATCAGCTGTATTGCCATGTACATGTCTATATACTGTCAGTATTATAACATGTATATACACATTCCTATATCGATCTTCAGTATTTCAGACGGGTCTGGCTTAACTCGGCTCCAGTGTATATCAGCTGTATTGCCATGTACATGTCTAGATACTGTCAGTAATATAACCTGTATATCCACATTCCTGTATTAATCTTCAGTATAACAGACGCTCTGGATTAACGAGGGTCCAGTGTATATCAGCTGTATTGCCATGTACATGTCTAGGTACTGTCAGTAATATAACCTGTATATACACATTACTATATTCATCTTCAGCATTACAGACGGGTCTGGCTTAACTCGGCTCTAGTGTATATCAGCTGTATTGCCATGTACATGTCTAGATACTGTCAGTAATATAACCTGTATATACACATTCCTTCATTTATCTTGAGTATTACAGACGCTCTGGATTAACGAGGTTCCAGTGTACATCAGCTGTATTGCCATGTACATGTCTAGATACTGTCAGTAATATAACCTGTATATACACATTCCTATATTAATCTTCAGTATTACAGACGCTCTGGATTAACGAGGTTCCAGTGTACATCAGCTGTATTGCCATGTACATGTCTAGATACTGTCAGTAATATAACCTGTATATACACATTCCTATATTAATCTTCAGTATTACAGACGCTCTGGATTAACGAGGTTCCAGTGTACATCAGCTGTATTGCCATGTACATGTCTAGATACTGTCAGTAATATAACCTGTATATACACATTCCTATATTAATCTTCAGTATTACAGACGCTCTGGATTAACGAGGTTCCAGTGTACATCAGCTGAATTGCCATGTACATGTCTAGATACTGTCAGTAATATAACCTGTATATACACATTCCTATATTTATCTTCAGTATTACAGACGCTCTGGATTAACGAGGTTCCAGTGTACATCAGCTGTATTGCCATGTACATGTCTAGATACTGGCAGTGAAATCGATGGCGTTTGCTTCATATGTTATTTTGAGATATGCCATTGATAAGACAAGCATTGAAATAATCAGAAGAAACGGGCAGTAGCAGGGATCCTCTCGGTGTTGAAGATGACGTAATTATCTGTGACAAGTAGATCAGCATCCTCAGCCATATCTTCCCGATAAACTATGTCCTCATAAATATGGACTTAGTTTAAGGGCAACGTTAACCATTCCTTGTGATTATCAGTAGTATTTGATCTGGGACCCTTTAAAAAAGGCTTACCGTCTTCACGTCTAGGGATCGATTATGCATGAAAGTAATCCTTTCTGTGTGAGAGGGAAAATCTATGATCTTGTATTTGGGTAAGAGGCTGACTGGTAGGTAGTATTACAATACTCGTCTTACAACTGATTTGATTCACTGGTTCTTGTGACAGATATTTCTGCCTTTGAGTTAAGAATGCACACTACTGATCAAAAGAAAACTCCCATCGGCAAACACCCTTCTGACAACTCGGGTGTACAGATCAGGGTGTGTTTAATGATAGTAAATAATTTGAGACATATACGTTGTTCATGCGATGATTCAAAAAGGTAGTTTCATTTATCACAGAGAGAGTGAGTGAGTGAGTGAGTTTTGTTTTACACCGCTTTTAGCAATATTCCAGCAATATCACGGCGGGGGACACCAGAAATGGGCTTCACACATTGTACCCATGTGGGGAATCTAACCCGGGTCGTCGGCGTGATTAGCGAACGCTTTAACCACTAGGCTACCCAACCGCCCCTCATTTATCACAGAAGATGGGCTAGTAGTTGTAAATTAGCCCTTAAAGGATATATCATTACTTGTTAATCTGGGGCGGTGGGGTAGCCCCAGTGGTTAAAGCCTTCGCTCGTCACGCTGAAGACCCGGGTTCGATTCCCCACAATGTGTGAGGCATTTCTGGTGTCCCCCGCCGTTAAATTTCTGGGATATTGCTAAAAGTGGCGTAAAACCAAACTCACTCACTCATTCACTTGTTAATCTGTGCTCATAGTTTAAACCAATATCCCTCAAAATATCCACTCCGAGGGAGTGACTATTGTTATTCCAGCTAAATCATGGCGATCTGTGAAAAGTTTGAATCAGAGAAATATTTGGTTGATATTATGAACAGCTTACCTGTGTGTCATGATAAAGCACGGTGTCAGGATAAAGCGTTGTGTCGGGATAAAGTGCTGTGTCAGGATAAAGCGTTGTGTCGGAATATAGCGCTGTGTCGGGTTAACGAGCTGTGTCAGGGTAAAGCGCTGTATCGGGATATAGCGCTGTGTCGGGATAACGAGCTGTGTCAGGGTAAAGCGCTGTGTCGGGATATAGCGCTGTGTCGGGATAACGAGCTGTGTCAGGGTGAAGCGCTGTATCGGGATAAAGTGTTGAGTCGGGATAAAGTGCTGTGTCAGGATAAAGCGCTGTGTCAGGATAGAGCGCTGTGTCAGGATAAAGCGCTGTGTCAGGATAAAGCATTGTGTCAGGATAAAGCGCTGTGTCAGGATAAATCGCTGTGTCAGGATAAAGCGCTGTGTCAGGATAAAACGCTATGTCAGGATAAAGCACTGTGTCAGGATAAAGCATTGTGTCAGGATAAAGCACTGTGACAGGATAAAGCATTGTGTCAGGATAAAGCACTGTGTCAGGATAAAGCATTGTGTCAGGATAAAGCACTGTGTCAGGATAAAGCATTTAGACAGGATAAAGCACGAAAAACACGATCCATGTTACCGCCTCTTGCATAAGGATATACGTACGTGGAACAAGCTCTCACACCGTAGGAGGTGCTGTAGCCATTGCTAGAGTAAGTGTGGTACTGATAAACAGTTCTGAAGACCTACCTCTCTGAGCAGGAACTCCGTGTAGAGTTTACCGCATATCACTATGGAGTGTTCCACCAGAACTTTACGCATCTGTAAAAGCGCCTCTCTTGCTTTCGACCCCATGATCCGGTGCGTGTCACGTGTTTTCGACCCTGGGTCGGGGAGTCTCCAGGCCTTGACAGACAGAGAATGGTTTGTCATCAGTCGTTCCAGCACAGCCAAACCTGTATTTGGAATTCAATAGAAACAGATACATGTAGTACTGGCGGGAATACATGGCCATACTGCTGTATGAACATACGACATCAACCATAAGGCCCAGTGGGATGGCCCAGTGGTTAAAGCGGTCGCACAACAACATGAAACAACATTCGGGCACATTCTTGTGTCCCTTCCATGTATCTGGACCATTGCTAATAATGCGATGTAAAAATGTCTAACTCACTCATTGAATTAATGCTATGTTTTCCATTATAACATCATCATCATTCACCTTTATCATCATCATAGAAGACACTAATCTTTTTCCAGTTCTGTTTTTGTGCAAAATCCAGCAGGGCCTGACAGAAGTCGTCCAGTTCCGGTAAGAGCTGGACAGTGTGTTTTAGCATCTCCCTGGAAACGGGTGACGTAGCAAGGTAAGGAATCTTCCGTTCTTCCGCTGCCAAAGCAACGCCGTTGTCATAGGGACCGATAATGGCGTCGATGGACCAATGTTGTATTCTTCGATGAACTGAAATAGGTTTTGAATTTATTGCTTTTACTTTTGATATTGAATATGCATTTTATAGTATTCACGTGATCGATAAATATTTCGAAACTGAGATATAACGCAGCTGAAATATACGTACACAATCAATATAAAGAACTAACAAAAACAGTTTACATAATCATAATAAATATCATATGTATCTAAATGAATTTCTATTCCGACAATATCATACGCATGTGTATTCATGAATCACTATCAAATACCATAGGTCACAAACACACGCGAAGACATTTCAATTATTCCAGGGACCGATCACTTGTGGTACTGTAAGATTATTCGCTGGCTATTCTGGATGTCTAAATAAATTAATGTCAATGTTTATTGGTCGGATACTGCTCACGGATAAAAAAACCTATAATTTCCACCCACCCCTCCACCACCAAACCCACACCGAATAGTAAATGATCGGTACCTTGGTTCTGACCAATGTGAGGTGAGGTGAGGTGAAATTGGGTTTAACCTCGTGCTTGAGAATATTTCGCTCATATGACGACGTGCATGCGTGTGAATGTGTATGTGCGGCTGCTTGTACTAGCCCACACTGAAGCTGGTTTTATAGTGCTATCCCACTGAGATACCATGCCGCAGTGAAGCATGAATACCCCACTCAGACACATTATACTGACTCTGAGCCGACCAGTCCTTGTTGTACCCATTAATGCCGAGCGCCAGGCAGGGACCTACAAGTACTATATTTAACGTCTTTTGCTATGACGCGGTTCGGGGATCGAACACGCGACCTTCCGCTCTCCGGGCGGACGCTCTCACCACTACACCACGAAGGCGGTTCTGACCAATGTGAGGTGAGGTGAGGTGAGGTGAGGTGGACGCTGTAACCACTACACCACGGAGGCTGTCCTGACCAATGTGAGGTGAGGTGAGGTGAGGTGGACGCTCTAACCACTACACCACGGAGGCGGTCCTGACCAATGTGAGGTGAGGTGAGTGAGTGAGTGAGTTTAGTTTTACGCCGCACTCAGCAATATTCCAGCTATATGGCGGCGGTCTGTAAATAATCGAGTCTGGACCAGACAATCCAGTGATCAACAGCATGAGCATCGATCTGCGCAATTGGGAACCGATGACATGTGTCAACCAAGTCAGCGAAAATGACCACCCGATCCCGTTAGTCGCCTCTTACGACAAGATAGTCGCCTTTTTATGGCAAGCACATGGGTTGCTGAAGACCTATTCTACCCCGGATCTTCACGGGTCTGAGGTGAGGTGAGGTGAGGTGAGGTGGACGCTCTAGCCACTACACCACGGAGGCGGTCCTGACCAATGTGAGGTGAGGTGAGGTGAGGTGACGTGAGGTCCTGACCAATGTGAAATACATATGTACATAACTATGCTGAAAAAGGGAATTTATTACCTTCTCTCATCCGTGCGTAGGTGCCTTGAATCTTATTCGAGGAGATGTCATAAAACTTCAGTTTGGTGACGCTGTAGCTGTTCACCACCTCCCTCCATGCCGGTGGCACCCCTTAACATGTAAGAACATCACGTTAAATGGCTCATGTGGTATTTCATTGTCTTTAATAAGAAATAATGAAACCGAAGTGGAATGAAAATGTGACGTTGCACGCGGCGCCCAAAACCTTGGGCGATCTGCAACGGTCATCTGAGTGCGTAATGAATGGAGAGGACAGAGCAGGAATCGAACAACTTTTTTGGCTGCAACGAACTGCCCAGCATGAAGCCAAGACTACCTATGACACCATTGCATTTGTAAAACTAGGTTCCCCTACACTAAATGAGAATCACATGCTCCCTGAACGAGAACCGTTTGTAAACAACTGAAGAGATAGAGACATATGACAGCTGTGATTGGATGAAATAGTGTAAGATTTTTATGTCTTTTTTAAAAGCACATCCATCTAGTAATTAAACAATTATAGGTATTTAGTGCTGTATTTTTATCAATATGACTTATGCGTATTGTGTGTACAGATATTTTCCAGTAGGTGACATTGAGTGCGGAACTGGGCTTGATGTGTTCCGCTTCCTGTGCTCGGAATATTAGCCGGACAAATTGGCCAGAAATTGTGTTTTATCGTAGTTTAAAAGCCAGACTGTACCAATGTGTACATGGAATGGCTGTTGATAGCTTGGATAATTTTTAACAAAATATAAGGTTACTATAGAAGTCTATGGGAAAACATTTGGTGTTGTGTAACCTCTGCCTACATCACGTGTCACCGCTAAGGTGATCACGTGACTCACAGCAAGCGATTGTTGTATTTCAAACTACTTTTATCTGTTCAAGTCGGATGGCAAGGGTCAAACAACCTACATGCTTAACACTGACGCGTGTATGCAACAACAAGAAACTTAAAAGAATTACACCACTCACCATGTGATACTTACAACCAGAGACCATGTATAGTGGATATCATATGAGTGCCAATGTCATACGCTGTTTACGACACGAGTGCCTAAATGTTGGTATTTCCCGAGCGAGAGCGAGGGATGTAACGATATTTAGGCATGAGTGTCGTAAACATATTATGATATGGGCACGAATATAATATTCTGTTTATTTCGGAAGTCGTCAAATTGAGGAAAATAACCCAAATCTACTTTCAAACATATGCTGTCTACACGCCGTCGCCGAATGTAGAACGCAACGTCACAGAAGAAACGTGACGTCATAGCATTATTCATGACGTCACGTCACCATGACAAAGTGACATTTTGCCCTAGGGCATCGTATCAAAAATATGAACCCCGATATGTTCGCCCGCGTAGGTAATAAAATAGATTATTATATGATCTCTGTTACAACAATTTTCTCCACTATAATGAATGTGTCAAGTTTCCGATTTTGTATCGTTGCTGTGTTAAAACGTATCATGAGGGGATCCAATCGTTACAAATGTGTCAAATCGTATCATTACAGTGTCAAAGAGTGAACACAAATATGTCAATTCGTATCATGAAGTAAAAAATATATATAGATTGTCTAAGGAAATGTGTGAAAAATAGTTTTGTTTAAGACTGCTTTAAGAAATTGTCAGTGGCCTTTCAGTTTTGTCTATTAAGACCCATACTTTTAATAAAAGTCTCTCTCTCTCTCCTTCTCTCTCTCAGGGAGGTGGGGAAGCCTAGTGGTTAGAGGGTTCGCGACCCAGGTTCGCTTCGAATTCCCCACATGGGTACAATGTGTGAAGATGGAATATTGAAATATTGATAAAACCCCTCTCTCTATAAAACAAACCTTACTAGATACTAAATGTCCGTCGGTGACAGCTGTTCCTGTGAGTATGTTACCTACCTATATTAAGTTTAGCTGCAAAATATCCATGGACGATGATACACGCTGAGCAGATGACCAGGTGAGCTAAAACCACACCTCCTGCCATCTATCTTTTTCGAAGTGTGACTCACTCACTCTAGAGGACTGCCATTCCTGAAACAAACAAAATCAACTAATTATGGCGGAAACATATATCTACTTGCTAAAACATGCTGTTTGATCAAGGTTACAACCTTCAAGCCCTTGGTAAAGCATTTCAAATGCTTCATGGTAGAAAATACATCAACACCAGCGGCTGGGTAAAGATAATATGTTCATCATGGATACCCAGCTGACCATGCCTTTTGGGAGGCTGCATCACAGGTGCTGGAAGATGAGCATGTTTCCTCTGACTTTATTTGTCGCTGTATTTTGGCTGCAATTGCAATTGTGAGTGAGTATGGTCTTCCATACAAAATTCAAGAATTTCACTCTAACCCGGTGACGAGCGAACGCTTTAAGCACTAGGCTGTCCCACCGCCCATATTGAATATGAATCTGTATTGCAACACTTCTTGGTTCTGTCGCTGTCACTTTTGCAGTAGTTTATATATATTTGTAAACCTGGTTTTAAAGTAGACTTGTAAGGGACCGTACCTAATTTATGGCTGAGTGTGTGCGTGCGTGCGTGCATGTGTGTGATGATTTTAAGGGGGGTCACCCATATTGTTCTAGGGAGTTGGCGGGGGAGAGGGGGCATCAATTTTGTACACATGTCATATTTAAAATTCATGCTTACAAATGATGGGAAGGGCATTATGCATGACATGCGGGGGAAGGGGGTCTCTTACTTTGTACATACATTTTAGGGGGGTCATTCACATTGTACATGCTTTCTTCATGCACTCAGCGATATTTCAGCAATATGGCGGCGGTCTGTAAATAATCGGGTCTGGACCAGACAATCCATTGATCAACAGCATGAGCATCGATCTACACAATTGGGATACGATGGCATGTGTAACCCAAGTCAGCAAACCTGACCACCCGATCCCGTTAGTCACCTCTTACGACAAGCATGGGTTACTTGAGAACAAAACTAACCCGGGTTTTTTAGGGCCTCGGAGTATGTATGATGTGATGAGATGTGTGTCTTTCACGATTTGTCATATACCAAATGTATTTCTTTCAGCGAAAGCGTTGGTTTTTTCAGCCTTCTCTTTGAAGATTTGCCCATATCATTACTGGACGAGGTCAAGTAATATACTAGCAACGCCAGCCTTTGGCGTGTTTCATTCTACAATTGTTTCAAATAATGTCATACATTCCCTGCTCAAACGTTATTTCATAAAGGTTACTGAATTCAAGGCCGTTGTTGAAGAGTGTCTTTCGAGTATTGGTTATACGTGTAGAGGACTTATCCAAATCTGACGCTCCAGTGGTGAGAGGGCGGGTGGCTTGTCGAGTGAGTGAGTGGGTGGGTTTTTGAGTGGGTGAGTCAGTCAGTAAGTGGGTGGGTTCATGGGTAGGTGTGCGAATCATTAAGTGGGTGGGTTGTTGAGTTAGTGATTGGGTGAGCGAGTAAGTTTGTGGGTGTGATTGGGAGAGCGAAGAAGTGGGTGAGTGGGTGGGTGGGTAAGTGATTGGATGAGCGAAGAAGTGGGTGGGGGAGTGGGTTGGTGGGTGAATCACTGGGTGGGGGAGTGAGTCATCGGGTTGGGGAGTGGGTTGTTTGTTGGCTGAGAAGGTAAGTGAGTGATTGGGTGGGTGGGTGAGAGTGAGTTGGTGAGTGACAGAGTGGGTGGGTTAGTCAGTGATTTGGGTTTGGAAATGTTTCAGTTATATCAGCGCCTGGAAGGGAAGCCCTGACTGAGGCAGGTCCAAGCGTGTGTATGAGGCGGAAGACACAGAGACATATATCAAGGCGGACGTTTCTAGTTATCTAAAGGACGCAACTCATCACACCTATCATTAGTCTGTCGTACAGACCCTGAAGTAAATATATCCAAGAAAGCCCACGCAAGTCTAGAAAATGTGGCAAGTCTAGATTTCCTCAGCTTCAGGAAGAAAATCTCAGGGCTCCTTTTCATCATATTTTTTTTTTTACTATGAACTTTTTTTCAGTAAAATATGTTCATTTCAGAGGCTAGTTGTTAGTCACGGCTTCTTTGTCCCCTGCCACCGCTCAAGTGCTGCTAACCGTCACAAAGAAGATACGAACAGTATCGTGTATCACACTGTACTATTGTCGTCATTTGTTCCATGTACATACTTCCTCGATTAATTTTTGTTATTTTAAAGTAAATCGATTTCATTCATAAATTGTGATCATGTACTGTAATTAATAAGTTATTTTCTTAAATTTAGTCGAATAAATGAATAACTTTGATTGTTAGTGGCTGTACCCCGAGAGGTGTTTGAAGTCGCGTAAAATAATTGTCTTCCGAAGAGGGTACTTAAGTGAGTGAGTGAGTGAGTTTAGTTTTACGCCGCACTCAGCAATATCCCAGCTATATGGCGGTACTTAAGACCACATCATTCAATGTATTTGATCATTACGAGAGTTTTAATCGTAGAATGTTTGTAATTTTAATTTATGGCTAAATTGCTCAAAATTAGCCAACAGCGGAAGGGATGATGTAAATCCAGCTAGGGTCCATGCAAGTAGCAAAAGTAATGTAAGTCCCCATGGTCCCTAGCATGGTGGTCTGTCCTCAGTTGCTGGCGATCTATAGCTCGATTTTATATTGTGTTGTTTTGCAATCATTAAGCAGTTTACACTGAACTCTAACTAGGTTTAATTAATTTGTGATACTCTAATTGTTATACTGTCCTTCGTTGTATATTTATTCTCAGTATATGACATTTTGTAGTCACTATATGGCTGAAACATTGCCGATGTCGTGACGTAAACTTTGAACTACTCACTCCATGTACATAGGGCCTGCCTACCTTGCACTACAGGTTTGTGGTTTATGATATTTAGTATATATAAGTAGTATATTTAAATATGTAGTAACTTATGTGCAAACTGGTATTTTCCCTCAAAGACAGTTTGGCGCAGAATAGTTGTAAGTTCTATCTTCTCTCACGAAGAAGCTCAATGGAAATTGAGACTCTCCATCCATAAGAGAGGATATGTGCAGATATGCTGTAATCCATCAAACACTGAGTCTACATGTAGCTGAATTTACAATGAGCCAAAGAAATCATTTTATATGACACTACTTGACCTACTGGGTGCAGATGTATGTAATAACTGAAATGCTAGATGATGAAGATGCCCTTGTACTCTATTGTGTTGCAAAACTTCACATCCATGGCCTTAATGAAACAGCATGGCAAACCACCATACTACATTTTTCTAACTATATCTATTATTTAAAGATTCTTTGATGTATACTTTCTGAACTATAGTTGTTGTAAATATCCGTGCCTTGTAAATATCATATGTTCATATATGTAACTGACTGATGTTATGTTTATGTAATCTTCGAATATCTTTTGGAGGAAATAAAGACATTCATTCATTCATTCATTCATTCATTCATTCATTCATTCATTCATTGCACAACATGTTTGTCGTTTATGATACTTTATAAACTATGTCTGTCGAATATAATAAATATGTTTGACAGATGTGTGCTTCTGCGGTGAATTGTTTATTGTGAAACAGTAGCAAGATTTTAGCTGACATATTGTAGAGAATCCGGAGCCAGAAGGGTGAATTTTATAAATGTCTTAATCAGTATATTGTTCTGCGCTATGTCTTGATTAGGAGCGATAGGTGTTTCGGCGCGACATCTAATGAATGTGCTAGGTGTTTCGGCGCGATATCTAATGAATGTGCTGGGTGTTTCGGCGCGACATCTAATGAATGTGCTAGGCGTTTCGGCGCGATATCTAATGAATGTGCTAGGCGTTTCGGCGCGATATCTAATGAATGTGCTAGGCGTTTCGGCGCGATATCAAATGAGTGTACTAGGTGTTTCTGCGCGATATCTAATGAATGTGCTAGGCGTTTCGGCGCGATATCTAATGAATGTGCTAGGTGTTTCGGCGCGATATCTAATGAATGTGCTAGGCGTTTCGGCGCGATATCTAATGAATGTGCTAGGCGTTTCGGCGCGATATCTAATGAAATGCGTTTCTTAATGCGGCGCGATATCTAATGAATGTGCGTTTCGGCGCGATATCTAATGAATGTGATATCTAGCGCGTTTCGGCGATATCGTTAGGCGCTTCGGCGCGATATCTAATGAATGTGCTAGGCGTGTTTCGGCGCGATATCTAATGAATGTGCTAGGCGTTTCGGCGCTGATATCTAATGAATGTGTTAGGCGTTTCGGCGCGATATCTAATGAATGTGCTGGGCGTTTCGGCGCGATATCTAATGAATGTGTTAGGCGTTTCGGCGCGATATCTGAAATGAATGCGTCGGTGTTTCGGCGCGATATCTAATATCTAGGCGTTTCGGCGCGATATGAATGAATGTTAGGCGTTTCGGCGCGATATCTAATGAATGAATGTGCTGGGTGTTTCGGCGCGATATCTAATGAATGTGCTGGCGTTAGGCGTTTCGGCGCGATATCTAATGAATGTGCTAGGCGTTTCGGCGCGATATCTAATGAATGAATGAATGTGCTAGGCGTTTCGGCGCGATATCTAATGAATGATATATCTAATGAATGTCCTGGGCGTTTCGGCGCGATATCTAATGAATGTGCTAGGCGTTTCGGCGCGATATCTAATGAATGTGCTGGCGTTTAGGCGTTTAGCGCGATATCTAATGAATTGCTAGGCGTTTCGGCGCGATATCTAATGAATGTGCTAGGCGTTTCGGCGCGATATCTAATGAATGTGTAGGCGTTTCGGCGTGATATGCTAGGTGTTTCGGCGCGATATTTAATGAATGTGTTAGGCGTTTCGGCGCGATATCTAATGAATGTGCTAGGTGTTTCGGCGCGATATCTAATGAATGTGTTAGGCGTTTCGGCGCGATATCTAATGAATGTGTTAGGCGTTTCGGCGCGATATCTAATGAATGTGCTATCTAATGAATGTGTTAGGTGTTTCGTTTCGGCGCGATATCTAATGAATGTGCTAGGCGTTTCGGCGCGATATCTAATGAATGTGCTAGGCGTTTCGGCGCGATATCTAATGAATGTGTTAGGCGTTTCGGCGCGATATCTAATGAATGTGCTGGGTGTTTCGGTGCGATATCTAATGAATGTCCTGGGCGTTTCAGCGCGATATCTTATGAATGTGCTAGGCGTTTCGGCGCGATATCTAATGAATGTGCTGGGCGTTTCGGCGCGATATCTAATGAATGTGCTAGATGTTTCGGCGCGATATCTAATGAATGTGTTAGGCGTTTCTGCGCGATATCTAATGAATATGCTAGGCGTTTCGGCGCGATATCTAATGAATGTGTTAGGCGTTTCGGCGCGATATCTAATGAATGTGCTAGGTGTTTCGGCACGATATTTAATGAATGTGTTAGGCGTTTCAGCGCGATATCTAATGAATGTGCTAGGTGTTTCGGCGCGATATCTAATGAATGTGTTAGGCGTTTCGGCACGATATCTAATGAATTTGCTAGGTGTTTCGGCGAGATATCTAATGAATGTGCTAGGCGTTTCGGCGCGATATCTAATGAATGTGTTAGGCGTTTCGGCGCGATATCTAATGAATGTGCTGGGCGTTTCGGCGCGATATCTAATGAATGTGCTGGGTGTTTCGGCGCGATATTTAATGAATGTGTTTAGGCTATATCTTGTGTAGTAACGGCGAACTATGTATGTCAGATCGCATTTCCCCAATGTATTTGAACGCGTGAAGATCTGGGCCAAGATTTTCGAAGCTCTCTTAGAGCTAAGATAGTCGTAAGTTAACGTTAACGTATGACACTTACGACCTTCTTAACACTAGGAGAGCTTCGAAAATCTTAGTCCAGGATTAGAATTGGTCGTTAGCAACACATGCCTGTCGACTGACATGATCGGGTGTTCAGACTCGCTGACTTGGTTGACACATGCCAGCTTATGATGTGAATCACTGGACTGACTGGTCCAGACACTATTATTTACAGACCTCAGAGTGCAGCGTTAAACAACGAACGGACTAACAATCCTATGTATTTGTATATGTAAAGTTTCTTACATATTTCACTGATATTCAGATGCTAAAATCCATACTTATTGTTTTATTTGTCCATGTATGTAAACGAGAGACGCTATATCTACAACATGCTCACACACTGCCATGTGGAATAGAGTTCAGTAAATTATTATAGTTATTTTTATCGTTAAATATTGCTATTCCGCAACAATACAATGGAACCACGGATGCTGTAGCCGAATCTTGTTCACGTATATGTACGTTGTATGTACGTTGGGAAGGTAATGCTTTCGTGGAGGTATTCCAGCACGCACTATGTCTTCTGATATACTAGCCTCTAGCCTCATTTCAGCATTAGTACAATGTTGTCGTAAAAAGATGGAGCTGTTGCTGTTTCGGATCGAGATGTGGACATGTAAAGGTTGACTAAATATAGACACTGGTTGCTTCTAAGGGACGGGTAAGCGGCGACTAACAGGATCAGGTGGTCAGGCTCGTTGACTTGGTTGACACATGTCATCGTATACCAAATACGTAGATTGATGCTCATGCTGCTTATCACTGGATTGTCTGGTCCAGACTCGATTATTTATAGACCGCCACCATATAGCTCGAATATTGCTGAGTGCGGCGTCAAACAACAAACCAACCAGCCAAATACAAAGGGGGCCCATGGGCATGGTAGTCTCAATTTTGAGTTTTAGAAAAAACAAACGTTTTTTATCCTTGGAAAATATTCATAATAACTGCATGTTGAATTTTGTCAACTCCTTTGTCAGACCACAGTATGGAGAGTTTCTGGACTTTTGGGCTTCTAGAATTAAATCGTGACGTGTTTATGTCATTTCCCGTACCTTTATATTTAATATTGAGACAAATAAAACTTATAGCTGACCTTTTTTCCAGATATGCGGGGTTTTTTTTTTGCTTTTCAGTATATATGGCAACTCCCGACTGCTCACAGGACTTATATGATATTAGGATCATTTGGGTATACGTTCATGATTTAATGTTTTAAACAAGAATTTTTAATCGTAGAAACAAAACGCCCCCCTCCTGCGTCTTCCACAAACACACTCTTTCTCTCTCATTTGACGGGGCGGTTGGGTAGCCTAATAAAGCGTCCGCTCGTCACGCCGAAGACCCGGGTTCGATTCCCCACATGGGTACAATGTGCGAAGCCCATTTCTGGTGTCCCCCGACGTGATATTGCTGGAATATTGCTAAAATCGGCGTAAAACCATACCCACTCACTCACTTAAATGAATATCTCTACTACTGCAACTACATAAAGTAATTTTCTAATAAATTACTAAAGGCAGAATCAAACTTGTAAATCCAAGAAGCTCACCTTGTCAGGGGGTTTAGGTCTAATGTATGTCCACTTTTCACAATGAATCTAACCGTACTGGCGGTGTACTTCGGGTCACCCTGGTTGAATATAGATATGACAGCGATCGTGTGAACTGATTCACATACGGACGTAAATTTATATTCTCGTCTATGTCGGCGTAGTAACACAATGTAAGCGGAAGTGGAACAAGATTACGAATCCCTTGTCCAAGATATCAAAGGTCATGGTTGCCTCCCGGATCTAGTCTGGCTCCCACTGGCTCCCACACCCTGGCAACAAACAAGGAACCCGTGAAGATCCGGGTTAGAACTGTTCTTCAGCAACCTATGCTTGTCTTAAGGGAAGAGTAACGGGATTGGGTGGTCAGGCTTGCTGGCGTGGTTGACACACGTAGATCGATTCTGTTCATCACGAGATTGACATGATAATTTACAGACCGCCGTCATATAGAGTGAATGTTGCCGAATGAGGCGCTAACAAGAAACAAATATAAACAAGAGATAATGAAGAACAAGTCCAACTCAAGTCTAGGATCAAGACAAGACTCTTTTGTGATTATATCCATCTCATTTTAATTAGGATATCTATATTTCTGGGTCTAAACTTCACTCCAACGCAAATCAATCAAACTCGAGAACTTTCGAAAATATTACTGACTGACTGACTGAGTTTGGTTTTACGCCGCTTTTAGTAATATTCCAGCAACATCACGGCGGGGGACACCAGAAATGGGCTTCACACATTGTACCCATGTGGGGATTCGATCGAAAATATTAAATCCTTACGAATTAAACATGACTTGTAGAACTAATGGCCTTGTGTTTGGACAGGAATGGAATTACAAGTGTATAACAAAATCTCCCCCGGTGGAACTTACTCACTCACTCACTCACTCTTTCACTCACTCACTCACTCACTCCAGACACAAGCTGATGGATAAGCATGGCAGTAGGACCAGCTGTCTGCTGTATCCAATGTAGAATATGGCAGCCAATAACGCCACAAGACCCTCCTGGGTGAGACTTTGGGACACCGCCATCACTTGACTACCCCGGCACGACCCTGGCTTGTCTGCACACCGACCCACATGGCAGGGCATGTGGCGTTGGCGTTGGCGTTGGCGTTGGCGTTGGCGGTTGCTGACATATTGATATGGGAACCACCCCCGGCCGTTGATGCCATTGAATGTAGCAATGATAGTTCGTCCATGTCCACAGTTGCTGGTATTTTCTATAGGTTTAAGTAGAATGTCGACCTGTCCCTGAACTATGGAATCCGAGAAGGGACATTGTCGCGTTGTCGCCCTCTCAAAAACAAGAAGAAATGAGGCAAAATTAACCAAAGCGCGACAATGCGACAACGCGACATTCGCCCATTTGTCGCATTGTCGCGATGTCGCATGTCGCGTTTTGAATAATATTTTTTTCATACCTCCAAAGGGCGACACGCGACATAGCGACAACTTTCAAATTCAAAATATGTCGCGTTGTCGCATTGTCGCCCTATCTAAGAGATGTGTAAAAAGCCTAAAATTGATTAAAATGCGACGCGACAATGCGACAACGCGACATTTTCATGAAATGTCGCGTTGTCGCATTGTCGCGTGTCGCGCTTTGTTAAAATATTGAGTATATTATGTATTATAACGTATTGACTAATACACGACACCACAACATCTAGTTTGTCTGCCATGGCAGGCAGTTATGTTCGGGTAAAAGATCGGCCATCTCCGGCACTACGCATTCTTCGACTCTTTTTAGCAACTTTAATGTCCTCACACATGTAAGGTTGGATAAAGAACATTAAGGAAAGTTGGAAGCGAAGGGATGGCCAGCAAGCTCAATACTCACCAGCGAACCATATCGCCATTTGAAGCCGGGGAAGTGAAAATAAACTCTTAAGTATCAGAAAGCTTTTTGAAACCACAACATGAAAGGGAATTACTGTTAAGTCTATTGATTCGTTCTGTCATGAAGTACTCCAAGGAAATATAAAGTTTTTAGGCAATTTCAGTTTTTTGCCAGTATGATGTAGCATTTCATTTAGTTAAGGAAATATAGATTTTATCCTGACCCCAAAAAGGTTTTTACTTACAAATGGCAGTATTTTGGCAATATCATCTTAAAATAGTGTGTCTGTCCAATAATGTATGGGTTTATTGGGGAAAGAAAGACAGTAGTGCATGTAAATAAACAGAGAGTGTATTTTGGCAGTTTCGAATCGCGTTCTTTGGAACCATAATGCTACATTCAACAAGGTCAATGGGTATAATTCTCATCTCTGGGGCTGGTGTATCCCCTTGGCTTCATGTTTGGCAAGCTGAAAAACTGCACAGTGACGACCAAAGGTAGTACTACCAGACACTCCTAATGGTTCAACAGTGAGGCTTTACGGCAGTAGTACTACCAGACACCCCTAATGGTTCAACAGTGATGCTTTAAGGTAGTAGTACTACCAAACACCCCTAATGGTTCAACAGTGATGCTTTAAGGTAGTAGTACTACCAGACACCCCTAATGGTTTAACAGTGATGCTTTAAGGTAGTAGTACTACCAGACACCCCTAATGGTTCAACAGTGAGGCTTTAAGGTAGTACTACCAGACACTCCTAATGGTTCAACAGTGAGGCTTTACGGCAGTAGTACTACCAAACACCCCTAATGGTTCAACAGTGATGCTTTAAGGTAGTAGTACTACCAGACACCCCTAATGGTTTAACAGTGATGCTTTAAGGTAGTAGTACTACCAGACACCCCTAATGGTTCAACAATGAGGCTTTAAGGCAGTAGTACTACCAGACACCCCTAATGGTTCAACAGTGATGCTTTTAGGCAGTAGTACTACCAGACACCCCTAATGGTTCAACAATGAGGCTTTAAGGCAGTAGTACTACCAGACACCCCTAATGGTTCAACGGAGAGGCTTTAAGGTAGTAGTACTACCAGACACCCCTAATGGTTCAACAGTGATGCTTTAAGGTAGTAGTACTACCAGACACCCCTGATGGTTCAACAATGATGCTTTAAGGCAGTAGTACTACCAGACACTCCTAATGGTTCAACGGAGAGGCTTTAAGGCAGTAGTACTACCAGACACCCCTAATGGTTCAACAGTGATGCTTTAAGGCAGTAGTACTACCAGACACCCCTAATGGCTCAACAATGAGGCTTTAAGGCAGTAGTACTACCAGACACCCCTAATGGTTCAACAGTGATGTTTTAAGGCAGTAGTACTACCAGACGCCCCTAATGGTTCAACAATGAGGCTTTAAGGCAGCACTACCAGACACCCCTAATGGTTCAACAATGATGCTTTAAGGCAGTAGTACTACCAGACACCCCTGATGGTTCAACAATGAGGCTCTAAGGCAGTAGTACTACCAGACACCCCTAATGGTTCAACAGTGATGCTTTAAGAGGTTGGTTGACTGGTTGACTGGTTGGCTGGTTGGTTGGTTGGTTGTTTAACACCACACCCGGAAATAGTCTAGTTGTATGGTGGCGGTCTGTAAGTAATCGAGTCCATTTGTACCGCGCTATTTCCATTCACAGTAAATGCTCAAAGTGCACAGAATTAAAATCATAGTCACTTGAGATGAAACTAGTCATCTGGATATGACAGTCTGAAGAGATGAGTTTTGAGACTTCGTTGGAAGTCATGTAGATTTGAACAGTTTTTCAAACATTCAGGCAATTCGTTCCATGTCTTTGCGACAGCATACTTGTGGGTTCTCTTCCCGTAGCTGGACGCTCTCACTGGAGAGGTCACGAGCAGTGACTTGGACTTGGATCGGAATGTTCTCGCGGGGATGTAGGGCTGAATCAGTTCAGTTATGTAGTGCGGCACTTGGCCAGTTAGACCCTTGAAAATAAAGCAGAGAGTTTTGAAGATTGTTCTTTGCTGGATGGGTAGCCAGTGGAGCTGCTTAAGAACTGGAGTGATATGTTCAGATGGTTTGGTCCGGGTTACGATTCTGGCAGCTGCATTATGCACTCGTTGCAACTTCGATAGCTGAACACGCATCTATATTTGATGCAAGTACGCAAACGTGCCGTCAGAAAATCCAAGATGGCGACTGTAAACATAACTGACGTTACTTGTGCTGGAATTTACTGTTATACTTGATACTGTAGCCTGGAAGCAGACTGCATCAAGGTATGTCACCTTGATAACATCCCAAATATAACTGTAATCTAAAATACATCATATGTTCCATGTGACCACTTTGTAAATGGTATATGGATATATGGGTTTCACTAAGCAGGCGGAATATCCCTTGCGTGAACTGAATCTATAAAACTAGCTTATGAAAATCATTTAAACGCAATAAACATAAGCATACCACGCCGTACATAATGCGATTATGCACGTACATGTTTTAGTGGTTTACGGAAACATAAAAATTGCATGTGATTCCGTGGGATTCGGGATGTTGTAAACATCCTTTTGGTAGTCTAAGGATGTTGTGGCGTTTGGATATGCCGGCTGCATACTCTTAAAATCGTGATAAAGTTGCTAATATTTCAATGTTGCAATTTATTTTTATACATTTTTTTTGCTTTTGTTGCAAAAGGTCAGAAATCAATGACATCTTTAGCTCTAGGCTTATGAGCTCTCGCGGTCATGCATTCTATGTGGAAATCCCAGTGTATCGTATTTAAGTTGGACCAATTGTGTAGTCATTGTATCTGTGGGTGAGTGAGTATGGTTTTACGCCGCTTTTAGCAATATTACAGCAATATCACGGCGGGGGACACCAGAAATGGGCTTCATACATTATACCCATGTTGGGAATCGAACCCGGGTCTTCAGCGTGACGAGCCCTCGCTTTAAGCACTAGGCTACCCCACCAACCCTTTATATTTGTGATATGACGCATAGATCTTATACAGGAAACAGTGAAAGGCAATTCTTCCACACCTTTAATTCACAGACACAACACCCTTGCTTGACATTGTTCACCTTACGTTCGGATGCCTTCTGCAAAATGTCTCATTATAGCAACCAGTGTAGTTGTCATAGCAACAATGATGATTGTCGGAGTATATTTGGTCACGTTCTTATTGTTAATGGCAATGAGCTTTAAACTGACAACTAAAACTAATGAACCCAACCATTAAAAATAAAAAATAAATTTCAGTTAGTTTGTACAGCGCGCATGCAGATTGTAGTAATTATTATAAGTGACATTGTGCGAATCTGTACAGTTACGCTGATACCACTAGCAGTCGATGGCGTCTGTATAAATATATTCCTAATATAATGACAATGAGACAGAACCCAGTTTGAGAGTCCCCAGGGACATCAGTCAATTGCTGACCAGAAAGAAGGGCCCCCGAAGGCCGTTTATCCCAGGTAAATCATTCTTCCATCTGGCAGCACTGATTCACCCAGCGTCACCAGCAAGCTAGAACAATACCATTCAATTGTCGCTTTGTAAAGAATAATTATAGTTGACTGCAGGGAGTACAGTCAACGTGGCCAGAAAGGTGGGTATGCAAATTGGAAATCAACTGGTGAATTATTGACGAGCGATGAGCAAACATGTCGACACACACGTGATTACATGGAGACGTGACGCGATGAAGTAACTGGTGCATGTTTAACAAAACCCGTGTTGATCATCACGTTCACCCAGGGTGAAGTGTGCAGTTTTGCCACTGCATGCGCATTTTCACACAATGTAAAAAAGCCAGTGCCGCTGTGTTTCGACTATTTTTCATTCAAACCGCATCCGATACGGGTCACCCCGTCCTTGTAGTTAATACAAACAATTTTTAGAGTCAAAGCGCCATTAGGAATTTAAAAAGCATGTGACTATAAAACCCAATACAAAGTTACTTTATTGCATTAGAATTCTCATCAATTTAAAGAGCGCGTTTATGGTTTTACGTATCCTTGAACAAAGCTATTTTCCAGTCCCTGGACAATGTTAACATGGGAATATACTTCAACAGAACAGGAATTCAAACTAATTTGATGTTTTGTGGTGCAGTTTTCAATAAAAACTCCATTCGGAGTATATTTGATTACCCGACCATCCCGTGTACCTTCTAACTTACCGAATTGTTGTCCATGCACATAATCCCCACCCACTCGCTTCTTTCCGTACCCCACAAGATCCTGGAACGACCAACGGTCACAATGCCTTGTACGCTGAGGTGGGTGAACTTCAGAGGACGGCAAGATGTAAGTCAGGACATGCCTACCAAAACGACTTTAAACCAAATGATTAAATGAATCCAGTAAAAAATACAACAAGGAAAAAAATACATGTAGCTTGGTTTTCGGCTTTCTTGTGTTAAAAGTAAGGTGGGTTATTGTGAAAAGGGTTTAAAAGACATTTCGGATTTAACCTATTATTTAGTTGTCTGAATACTGCAATGTAACCATGGAGACTAACCAAAGGTGATGACGTCGATCCTGCAGTATAGCCAATACATGCGTATTTGATATAGTGACATGTCAGGGTGTTGGGATAAGTGAAAAAGTGGATATTTTTTTTTTCATTTTGTTCATTGATATTTATTCATTTGCTCCGCCCCGCTTAACAGAGTAAATACGAAAAGTGGAGCTGGGGTTAATGCCGCTTAAATGAAGCCTTGCTCTCGGATCCATTTGAATTTTATTCTTCATTTTGAAGATATTTTTATGAGATAATTCTTGGACTAAATGTTCCTTTGACATATGGATAAATTTGAAATATATATTAGTAAAGTGTAGCTGAATGTACAAAGAACCATGTTGGCGTCTGTATAAACTGGTTCAGCTGATGACATGCGCGCTAGCTGAACACTTTTAAACACTCGCTCAGGGAGACAGAACTCCGCCCAAGCGTCTATAGTTACCATTATCCCTTTGTGTGTTTCCATTGTCTGATCTGCAAGAGGAAATTTCGTTAACCGCAGCTAGATGTCAATAATAGAATAATGTAGGAGGTTTTGTTTCACGTAGGCTACATGCGCTCATAGCTAGTTCCAGCACCATACGAGTAATGCGCAACAGAGGAGCCTCTTCAGAAAATGCAGCATGAATACAAATCTGGAGACAGCTGGAATTGTTGGTTCCGTAGACTGGATACACTCCCTGGAGGTGGCTAATGGCTGTTGTTGGGGAGTATAGTCCGTCTGTAATACCTGGGTCTGTGTTTGCGGTGATCAAGGTAACTAGTAACGCCAGACTGAGAACACCTGACAGAATGACGGACAAGCCTCTCTCTGGACACCGTGATATATTGTGAATCACAGAAGCAAGCACTCGGGGCTTCTGCGTTTGATTCAGATGACGTCATGTCCGTGTCTTTTGGGGGTTGTACTGGACAGGTTCCCATACAACTGACGTATGCGTAGCTGTTTGTGATGTTCAGTTACTGTTGTGCGTGACAAGTATCACTAAATTGACGTAGCTCATAATAAAGTGTTGTGGTACTGACACAATTGTCGGTAAAGTGGTATTAATAACAAGATTGTATATGGCTTCATGTCACGGTACTGGTATGGACGTTGGTGACCCTGTCGTCTGCGGCGCTGCGACTAGCCGGACAGAGTTGCGTGTACGTCCAATAATCTCGGGTTCGAATCCCAGTCCGTCCTCAGTCAGTTTCTTGGTTTGTCAGAAGGTCGATTTCAGTGGTGAATGTACAAGATTGCACCACTCCGGGCTGTCCCCCAGCTTCATATCATGGACGTCATTTTACCGGAAAACCAGAAGTGATGCAGGTCTTTGAAGTCTACATTTTGGTTATGGTGCTGAAAGACCAAGAATCATGTTCAAGATTCTGGGCCCCGTTTCACCAAGCTCTCGTAAGCCTAAGATCTCGTAACTTTCCTCGTAGCATTCGTACCTCCTATGTTACAGTATAGGAGGTAGAATGCTACGAGAAAAGTTACAAGATCTTAGACTTACCAGAGTGTGAAACGGGGCCCTGGAACGCCTTAGGGAGGCAACATACAGCAGTGACCGTGGCGTTCTAAACGGTCGTAGAACCAAACACCTTCTGTTTGTCTGTGATTTAACGCTGCTCTAAATACAGATATCCAGCTAAACCAGCTATATACTATACACAACCCAATGAGTGACATGCAGTCAGCCAAGTCACCGACCCTGACCTTCCAATCGGTCTAGTGTCCTCTTATATGAAGCAAAGGACCTTACCCGGAATTTCTATTCCAAATTTTGAACTTGTATCGGAGTTCAGGATGACTCCACACATCGGGTTCATAGTTTAACGCCATATAAATGTGCCGCTGGTTAAGGGAATGCGTCATTCCGATTGTGTAGTGTGCGTGTATGTGCATGTCTGCGCGTTTTCCTGTCCTGCATTTGTCTACGTGTGTGTGGGCGTGCATATGCGTGTGATGTTTAACACCTCACTCAACAACATTCTAGCTACATGTCCGCTTCCAGTAACTAATTGAGTCCAGACCAGACAGTCTGGTGATTGATATTGTCAGCTGTGACGTCACACAATCAACAAAATCACCAAGCTTCAGATGACCAGCATGGATAGCTGTGACCCAGACTCTCCACAGGCATTAACTATACCACTACTTTATATGGCCACCAAAATATCTCTTGAAATTGTTCTAGCACATTAATACATCACATTCTCTTGTAAATAGCAGCAGCAGATTTCCATCATAGAATATAATATATCACTGAAATAAATACTTATCAGTTTAAAATGTTCTCATTGTTGAATATGTTTTCTAAGTATTACTTGCATTAAATGTTAAACTGGTTTGCTGCCTAAAAGCACTTCACTAAACAAGTACCCATTGATTGTCATTGACATTAATAACCAATTAGCACAAGTCATAAACAAAGTCCGCAGTCAACTACACAATTATGATAGCCTTTGTTGGTCGGTATTCCCATTGGCCCCGAGAAGTGACGATCATTCAAAGTTGGCCAATAATGTTTGTGTGACAACTTGTGATGTATTAGCTGATGTTATCATATTTTCCTAATGACTACTCCTCACTCAACAACATAGGAGCATAAAAGTGGGAACCGATACCACGAAACGAATTAGATGAGGCCGGAGGCGTGGATGCACATATATGACAGTGTTAATAGTGGTCACTCAAATAGCATACTGTGAGCTCGTGGGCACTGCAGCGCCACGGGTTCTATTTGGGCATCACTTACAATCAGAAAATCAACAAACTGACCACTTATATTCAGTGAATAACAGACATGGTCATCCCTCCAAGGAATCTCTATTGAGAGTGTCCACTGGACTATTTCAGTACTTAGATGTAATGCAGTTCTGATTTCTGTATCAAGATATTTATGTAAGTCAGGTGAACTACATGTACTAAATTAGGGTCAACACCTGAATGTAGTGTCATTGTTTTGTTTTGGTCTTACCTCAAATACACAACTTGGTGAACTTGGACAGTACTTGCTTCATGAGAAAACAACAAAAACAAAATTTCAAGAATGTGCATTTAATCATTTCAAATTGTATATGTACACAACGACAATTGGATGGATTTTGAACAAGTTGGAGTTATCACAAACACTCTGCTACTATTATTTACATATAGTGACACGATGACATAAAACACTGGCACAGACATGTCTAGTTATGGTAATGCTTGTTTATGTACAATAATGTTACATCTAAATCACAATGTAGTTATCACAGACTGCTGATTGACCAAACTGACCGACGGGATGCACAACAAATAGGAAGAACCACGTAACAACTCTACATCATCATACTTGTATCACAGACCTCATTGCCTAGTAACACAACAGAATCATCTTCAGATAAGTGATCATTATGTCCACACTTATTTTTGGCAAATCAATCACAATAGTTTTCTCACTATCTCAACCCCTACTAGATTTTACCTCAATACTTTCAAATTCTATTTCTATTATTTAATGTCTATCTATAAATCACTTACAGAAATGTTTGACATTTGATTTACATTGTATAATTATCAGTTACAAAGTGAACATGATTATATATAATGACTCTTTTATCATAAAAAGAAGCTAGAAATATCATTTCGGAATGAACACGATTTAGAGGACATAATGAAGCTACTAATAAAATTCCACCAAATATTAGACACCATATTCCTGATCCTTCATCTAATCTCAAACAGATAACAGTGATTAAAAAACATATCAAATTATTCTCAAACCTGATACAGACTCCTATAGTAACTAACAGGTGAGATCTGCAGCTGATTTTCATACATTATGTTATCAAGATAAAAAGAAAGAAAGAATCCAATGAGTAGTTGTCCCCCTAATAGCTTCTGGCTGGCAAAGTGTGAAAGCAGTGAGTGTCTGTTACCACCTACAACTTCTGGTAGCTGACAGCCTCGGGTGTGTTGACTGGCAGGAGTTTGCCTGGTTCATGGATCAGATCAACGATGTAGGGCTTCGGAGGATACCTGGCACCACCGGCCTGGAACACACACAAAATACATGTGTCATACAAGGCCGTGAGTGATGAGAGCATGTGGGTGAAATTGTCCATGTCATTTATTGTGAAAACAGTGATTGAATGATGCTAAATGCAAAGATTAGACCATTATTTTCAATGGTTGAGTGCAGCTGGGTGCTCATTCTACTTTAAACTAAAAAAGAAAATAATTGGGCTGAACCAAACCCATTTGTCAAAAGCTGACACCAAAGAATGTACATCCTTAAAGCACTTAACATGTTTTCTTAAAGCACTCCCTTTTCCTATCAAACTAGATATATTTGATATACTTCAGTAAGCTATGCAGTATATTTTCAGTATAGGACATGACAGCCAGCAATTGAAAAACAAACAAAATCTGCACCCCCAGTTCTGCTTAGAAAGTGAGTAGTTAGGAAAGTATCACTATATCTGTGATAGAGAGATGTTTAAGATGTGTGCTTCCTGTGTACATTATCTCGGCCAAATGTGCCTCTGTTGTTGGATATCTCTCTTCAACACTGTAAACTGTTTCTCCTGTATATTTATTAAGTCATGTACATCAATCATTAACATGCAGCTTGTTCAAATAAACTTGTTGAATAGTTAAAACAAATCTTTGTAGGTCCATATTAACACAGAAACTCAAGGGTTGGCTTGATAATTTGTTAGATCATCAGTATGAATTTTTTAGAGTTTAAAATTTCGCACCAGTTAAGCTAAACTTAATATCAGTATTGACAAACAAGGAACAAATTAAAAGATACAATGAGTTGTTCAAGAAATACTAGTCTGTACACATTCTTCACAGAGCTTCCAACCCCAACAGGGACAAATGCTTGAGATGATGGGTCCAGACCCAGCAGGGTCCAGGGTTTATTTAACCTGATGGGGGGGAGGGATCAGGGCCAATGCATTATTGCAAATTCCCTCTTCAGAGTCACTAAAACGATGTATTCAGACCTATTTGTGTGATGTTAAGTGGTCAAAATGTGCATGCTGAAGTTTGGCATGAGATTTGTTTTGACATGAGTAATAACAGCATGAGTCTCAAACCAACGGTATGAGAGTTGGCAGGCATGTCTTTATACAACGATATTGCAATATTTCAAGACTCATCACATGGGCTTAGCTGAGATAACCTGTCCAGACTGGTGGATGGAGTGTCTGCTCAGAGACTAGAAGGAATGGTGGTTCGATCCCATGTCATAACAAAAGACATTCAAAGATAGCTCTTGTTGTAGGCCTTCCTGAAGCTCAGTATTATTGGATAAAACTCAGACAGGTCAGATGGAAGTCTACCGTGTCTGTATCGGGGTAAACTGTAGCATGTGTCTCAATGGACTAGCACTATAGCAGCAGCATCAGTCATGATAGCCACAGTGTGTCACAGACATTCATGAATGCCATGACACAAGAGCAATCATTTCAACTCCAGTTGACACACAATGATACAACTGAAACACAGTTAATAGGAGCATTAAACCAACTCCATCACTTCTCCATGGGTGAGCCCACACACATACCTGGCTGAATCTACCTGTTCTCAGGTGGGAGTCCGCTCTCAAAAGATGCTGGACACCTGTCCTATCACACATAACAAACACCAGGTGAACAAGAAATTAGCAGAATGATCTCTCACTTGCCTACAATTCCTACATGTTGCTCCCATACTCAACATCCTTCATATAAATAGTTGTACTTGAAAAAGTAACTCATCCCCCCCAAAAAACTACAGAATTATTTATCTATTTACACTACAAGTACAAATTAAAGGTGAGATTTTTACAGTCACCTGAGTAAGTAGATACTACATAAAGATCATGTGTGGTGATGACGGACATGCCTGCAATGTGTTTATAGCACTATGCACTGACAGACAATGACACATTGGTTGATCACACATACATTGTTTCTTCCTCCAAGATCCTAATGTAATGTGTTGAGGACATGAACATTCTTAGCCCAAAACGAAGAAAACACCCTGACAATATATATCTGCATTGTTTGAGAGAGTAAAGAAAGTGTGTTATGTCAGTATTCTTTTGTTATTGCCACTTACAATCACAGGAAAGGAGTGTGGTGTTCTCACGCCAAACTTACAGGAAGCTAGATTACTATTACTTCCACAACTGTTCAGGGATAGTTGACAGTGCAGGAGATTTCAGTTGAAAAAATGAAGATTTTATATTTCTGATAGTATATTTATATTTTATGTATTTAAATATGTCATATTATTTATATTAAGTCTATTAATAATTGATGTCAGTCAAAACACATGATTTTTGGCTATGACATAATATAATAATGAACTTGATGTAATTGCTGTTTGTGTGCATCTTGCAAGTTTAACTCTACCTCAGCAATACACCAGGTATCTAGTCTGAGCCTGACAATCCAGTGATCCATGTCATGGACAACCAAGTCACAGAGTTATGGATCCACAAGGTCATGACCTATGACCAGGTTACTGGGGACCCAGGATCCCCTATCATACATTAGACACATTCTCCACATGTATCAATGACAAATTCATGTCAATAACCTCCTGGTTTATCAGTGACCACTGGTGAGAAATGTGACATTACCACTTCATCTTCTTGTGGGAGCATGACTTCATTCCAGGCACGGTTGTACTCTCCCCGGGTCAGAGAACACCCCACAGCAATACGGTCAGCCAGCGTCTACAAAGAAACACCAGTCTACAGTCCACCTTCACACACTGCATCTCCTTTCTGTCTACATTTCAACAGTAAGTCTTTAAAGAAATACCAGATCTCCTCCAGAGTTAAATGTGGTTCTGTGTTTTTAACATACATGATGCTTCGAATATTCCTGACTATCAACCAATCATGAAGAGTTCCCGTTTCTACATCTCCATCAGTGTGAACATGTGCATTCATTCAATAAGATCACTCTGGAAACCTGCAGTAGGATGAGGACTGGGACAGGCAAGAGATGAAAATGTACGGAACCATGCCCAGTTGATCAGCAACAGAACACATTGACCAGTGGGCTACTGTTCTCCAAACCTTCTGCATATCAACGTTATTTTTACATCAGTAATATCAAAGCAAGGAACAAGAGAAACACAACAAGGCACATCGGAAACGTGCTTCACAAATTGCACCCATGTGGTAAATCAAACCTCAGCTCTCATCATGGTGATCGATTGCTTTTACCACAAAGCTTCCCCAAGGATAAAGATGCACAAGAGCCAAGACCTGGCAAAGTAAAATATGCTAATGCTCCTGCAATTCACCTTAAAGAGCAGTGCTCTGTGCACATGGATTCCAGCCTTGATCTTGCCAATGGGGACGACATTCGACTTCAGTTCGAACTTGATCTGACTGAGAGGCAGTTCCCAGCTGAAGTTTGTCACCTGTCCCTTCTCTATAGGACCTCCCATCTTCTCAGCCACGTACCTGCCAACACACAAGCAATCATAACTCATCCATGTCTCTCTTGGACAGTAAATACAATCAGTCAAGAAATACACACACTAACATGCAGCTTCTGAAACTACAAATATTTGACGGAGAAAAACGGTTGTTCAATTATCTTTATAAAATGTCATAAAATGTCACCCAGAGACTCTTCCCTTTCAGACTCAGGAACTACAGCACTACTACACAAGTCAACTTTTACAGACTTGCATCAGCCATATTAGACATAAGGTACTTGTTTCAGGGTCTGTGACAGACTAACAAATACATACAAATTCTGCATCTCGGACCCAGGAAACTTGTATGTGATCCACTGTCCATTCACAAGATGTATAGTGTGCTTACATTCCCTCTAAATATCCACTTCAACCATAAAGATATTCCAATGGTGTCCCACATACACACAAAGTATCTTTTGTTGAGATGTCTTAAGTTTGGCACATAGCATTATATTATCCTAACAACTTGCACATAAAGTGAATGTGCAGCAAAATGAAAAAGCTGTAAGAAACAAAGAATAGAATCATTTCATCTCACTAACACAAAATCAAAACATTATAATATTTTTCTTGAATCGAGCATGTGAGACCAATGTATTACACATTATTTTGAGGAGTACTTCACACAGTATATCAGGGCAACTACGTACTCTGCGAGTGCCACCACCTGCAGCCTGGTGGTGGCCAGTGGCTGGATCTTCTCCACTACATCCTCCATGTATTTAAACAGGGTAGGGTCAGCCGGTGTGGTGAAGGGTTTGTTCTCCTCAGCTGCCTGAGCCTCAGCTTCCTTGGCCAGCTGAGCCTGAATCTCCTCCTCCTTCTGTTTCTCCTCACGCTCACGCTGGGCCTTGGTGCGTCTGTGGAAAAGATGGGTACAGGGTTATGTCAGAGAGGGGCACAGGGTCAGGAAGAATAAGGGTGCAGGATTATGTAGGAGAGTGGGGTACAGGTTCATGTGTGAGAAGGGTACAGGGTTATATAGAAGATTGGGTACATGGTTATGTGAGAAAGGGGTACAGGGTTATGTATGAAAGGGGTACATGGTTATGTGAGAGAGGGGTAATGGGTTTGGAAGGATTGGGCTGCAGGATTAAACATGCATGGGATACAGGGTCACATGGGAGAAGGGTACAGGGCAATGTAGGTAGTTTGGAAAAGCTTAGGTCAGTCATGTAAACTATCTGTCTTACACAGGGAACTTATAAGGATTACTTAAAGTAATCTACCACTTGGTCCGGGGGATGCTTACAGGAGCAGGGCACTAAATACAGGACACACAATACTGTACATCATAATATAAAGTAAATTTTACTTTTTTGGTCTGGTCAATTCAAATTAGTCTTAATGATAAATCTAGCCAAAATGTGGCAAAAGAAAATAAGTCATTAAACCCTATAAAAATATTGGTCCAGCTCTGTCATACCAGTTACAAAATTAATCAAATAATACAGAAGTTTATCATATGAATGCAGAACACTATGAGAAACTAGCACCAAGTGCAACAATTCTACACATACTACCAAAATAGATTCAAATTCATAAAAAAGAATGCAATATGTCCAGGTACCTAGGTGTAAGAGCTAGCTGCAGAAGATAAGCAGTATATGAAAAACTAGATCATTCTTAAACCATTCAGTATATTCAAGATTCAATTTCTGTACAAGAGGAGGAATGTGGTCAACAGGAGCGAACTACATACTGATATACATCACAATTTCAAAGTAACTGAAGGCAATATCCCCAGTTATACGTCAATGCATATTTACGCTTGAAGCTTCAGACATACACGGTTTTATTATCAGCCTTAAAGTGCAGTAGAGCTTTTGATCATAATACCTGTTCCATCGCCCCTGACAGGTACTAGCTGGAAATGATAACAATGTCATATAATGCAGGCTAAATTGTGTTAAAGCATCTCAGCAGTGTAAGCTTGAATTCTAGTTGGCAAAGAAGCAGTGATGTTTCAGTGCAAGTAGGAATGGCACAGGCCTTGGACTGGGATTACTGGGAGTTCTGCTGTCTGTTTCCATGGCCTAGACATCACAATTATTACTTCTTTGATTGGCATTCTAGAAGTTGGGTAGATGAAGAATGAGGACTATTTTTATGGATATACAACTTCTTCATTCTGTATATTATTTTTTTACATCTCTTATGTATACAACCATGTACATCTCCTTTACTGGCTTCCTATCTACCTACCTACTCCTGTGTTATCTACCTCTTCTATTGTATAAACAACTCATTTTCACTTCATCCTTCATCTATTGTTCAAACATATCTCATGTATATATATAGACCAAAATTACTTCTCATGTACCACTTTCTTGACAACAACATTAGAATCTATGTAGAAACGTCCCCTATACAGAATAAAGAAGTTGTATATCCATAGAAATAGTCCTCATTTTTCATCACAATTATTGTGAAACAAAGACACTGTATATGTGATAAGGGTAATCATAAACATCTGGAGTCATAATTATTATAAAATTTTGAGTTTGCAGAATCAAACATGCTTTGATCGTCAAGCATCTGAAGCCATTTGGAAAATGAAAATTAACTTTCAGAACATTTAATCAATAAATGAGTATTCTGACTCTGCCTCTCATTTCCATCAAACATCTCACAAACATCACATTGGTTGAGACAAAAAAGAAAAAAATTTGACACGGACTTAATGGGCCATGTGGGGATTGTTGTCAGGCAAATAGAATCTCCAAAACACTACAATGTTGGCAAACAGTATCTGTAATACTAGTCAGCTGCATATGTTTACAACATGTTCTTCATCTCAGTACCTGAGGGAATCCAGCACAGAAACCTGGTATAGAACAAAACTGGTAAACACTGTTCCTCAGGGACAGATCAACAGAAAAAATCTCTACTCATTATTTTCACTGAATTAAAATGCCATAAAACATAAATGGCATTGATACCAAATTGTTATTTACCACATGTTTACATGAAAAGAGGTATTTTTTCAAAACTCATTAACCTTCTACATGAAATTGCTAAACACATTAACATACGCTGAAGTACAATCCTCATAAAATACATGACTGTGTACAAGGTCAATGTAAGCACTCTTTTACAGTAATGTTTGGGATATTTCTCAGTGTTTCACAGCAATGATAAGAGTGTTAAAAAGACCATACATCTAAAAAATTAGGTAGATCTGAATATGAGACAACATTGTTTCCTATTCATACAAGGTTCATGATCAAGTATCAAGCATAACACACTTCACTGTGAAAATTGTTAATTGAATGAAAAATGAATTAAAAACAGTTTGTATAAAAGTTTATTCTGAAAAAAAAGAAATTTAAGGCAGTTAAAGCAAAAATACAATCATTAATTCTGAAAAAGCAAAATTAAAAAACTACAATTTGTTTAAAGATCTTTTGTGAAAAAAAGAGGAAAAGCAAAAGAAGCTGTAATATTTACAGTTGCTACATTGACATCTGGTCTACAGATAAGGTGAACTACCCCAGCTGTACACCTGCTACAGCTTCAAGCATCACCTGTCTTCCCCGTCTACATTACCACAGCGTCAGGGGAAGGGAATCAGGGAAGTAAAGGTTAATATTTCTCTAATTGCAGCTGATAAATGTCTATCTAATTTCTGTTATCTCAATACTTTTTCTTGATAATGCTTTTCCATGACAATCGTTTGGGTGGGGCAGATTTCTTATGTCTAGTCTCATGCTCAGGCTGTTCTTCCTGTTCAGATGGAGACATAGGTTCAGTGACCTCCTCCTTCCTGTACATGCAAACATAGGAGTTGAGCATTTGGTCACTCTATTGATATCAAGTATGTAATAATTCACTTGTTGAAAATGTAAACTGTCTCAATCTACTTGTCCAGAATCAGCGTCTCTGCCTACATGATGAATCTACCAATAATTTTCAAATCACAAATCTGTCTAGATCGACTAAATGAACTAGGGTCAAGATTTGACACCAACAACGTTAATGACATCTCTCAGCCACCATTTAATGACCGGCAATGTGGACAATGACATGAACTGATCTATTATCAAAGAACATTTTGACTTGTACAACTAAAATGTAAAATTCTGTCACCTGGGCATTGTATTGCTACATCCCTCAATTAGTTTGAAGTTCAAATCTAGTTGATGGTAGCACCAATCAATGTATAGCTTCAAAATATATCAAAAGAAACTGCCATTGCNTGCCAGGAAAAATTTGCTGACTAACGGAGGTAGTTTTTGATGTTATAAGGATTTTGCTGGTTGTATCTGTGGCATCAGACCACCGCCATTATTCTCAGTCTAACTCACTGTCAAAAGATCATTGTGGACATATACTGACAAGGTAGTTTATGGACTAAATTTTGCAGGCTGTATCTGCAGCACATTGTCTAACTCACAGATCATATATGTAGGACTCAAAACACATTGGGTAACCAGTGATTGACAGTCCCCAAAGACATTCTAGCTGAAATCCCTAGGAATAACTGTTTTGACATCCAAATATTCACTTGCTCGTAATCTCTTCACCTGGGCCTCTGTTTGTTTATGACAACATTCTTCCTATCGCCAGTGTGGAAACAGGTGAGATTATAAAAACACTCACATCCCAGCAGATAAGACACACCTATCCTGCCAAGCCATTCCTAAACACCGGAGTGATGTAATTACGATAAAGACATCATTCAGTTTCAGTATATGATAAAATGATTATCAACATTTACTGATACAGCAAAAGGGTCTATTACCGAACCTAGGCAAGGAGAGAAAATCTGTTTAGTATTACAGTCAAGTCATCACTTTGACAAGAACACTTTAGAGATGTCTACATAGGATAAGATCTTGCCTTCCTCAATGGTTCTTCCAACAAAAATTACATTTTATCACTACAGGAATGTTCACAATCTTAAAGAGCAATAACTGCCATATTTTTAATGTCAACACACCCCAGTGTCAAAAATGCATCATTAGACTGAATCTACTATCTCTGGTATATGATAAAACTTTGGCTGACATGATGTATACAAACATGGTGAAAGATCAATGTTTTTGATGAATGAGTATTTTAACGACCTTTGTTAGTACATAATGCTGTATGATGGCTGGCACAGAGGGAGAGAACTGATTGCTTTAAGTGGTTCTTTGATAAGCCGCATGTTGTTAGAAATATCATGGATACATCAAAGATGGTCTGTCCAGCCAAATGTATTTCACACTGTGATTACTGAGTTTTGAACTTAACATGCTACAGTCTTCTAATCTTCTTCTAATTTATCTAATTTCATATGAGAATGTTACTCATGTTCAAACTTAGCTGGTGTTACAAATATGTAGCCTACAAACCGGACTGCTCATACTATCTGTATGAAGCTATTTGCAAGTCATGTCAAGAGTGAATGACCTTCCAAGTTACCTTGACATTTGACACAACTATGGTATATCATAGGTATTGAGTTATATATAGAGAGTTGATAAGTGTTTGGAAATTGCTTAGATCTTTCATGAATAAATCTGTAATTTCTTGAAATATGAACAAATTGTCATAATGTTTCACTGATGACCTCATATACAAAGGTTGAGATGATCCAAATTCTACCTTACAGATCATGTGCACTAGGTTCCATTCACAAATACTCACATCATCAAATGCACAAGTTAATTTCACTCCTACTTCATACTGAACATCTTTGACCTTAGGTGTCATCCAATTGTATCTCAGAAACATACTCCAGACTTATACAGATGTTACAAAAAGTATGGAGAATCCAATATCTGTCATTCTGCATGGTTAAGAGAACCAGTTGCAGCAGTGGCAGAGCTCAAATACATGAAAACAGTGACCCTTACAAGGCACTGCTTAATTAGCAAAATATAACAATATGTTCAACCGCTGTACATTAATCAACATATTAAATGAGATCACGAAAACAAGTTTCTGAAAACAACCAGTACTCTGACAGCCCAAAACATCCAAGCACACTCTATATCTGACTTTTAAAATAATGACAGCAACTCACGATTTAGTTTCTCGCCCAGTTCGAGATGACTTCCCAGAGACGCTTGTCTTGGAACTGTCAGTCTTCAGGGCGTCATTATCCTCCTGCCTGGGGGGAGGGGTCGGCCTAGGTACACAACATGGACAATAACAGTTACATGGGAAGAAACTCAACTACCTTTTATCATCAACATTAATTTAACATTCCTTAATAATGAGAGAAATTATGTGGAAGGGGTCAGATCAAACTTCACATTATGAAAAACATCATTAAAATAGCTTTGTGATTTTCTAAATTATCTTCACCAAATATCACCAACTTTTCAACAAGTATGCAAAGTCAAATATTCCAGGATCTAGGACCAAGTTCTTTAGACTATCAGAGTTAGATTAGTCCTCTACTAACTGTAACACTATATCAAGGGTAAATATTTCTATCTAGGATTGGTTCTGAAAATCATTTGATTTTGATTTTACTTTCATTACTACAAAAGTATAAAACAGATCTTTGAGCTATTATGCTGCTGTCGCTGTTAATGGAGAGCAAACCGATGCAGGACCTGTACATTATCTGCAGAAAGAGTGTAAGTTGGGTTTAACACTGCTCTTAACAGTGAACCAAGAAACATAATCCATGGTATTGGGATTTGAGCCCACAAAGAGTGAGTGCGTTAACTTTTACGCCGCACCCAGCAATATTCCAGCTGTATGGCGGCCCCACAAAGAAGTTTTCTCCTATGCCCAGTAACTCTCAGTACCTGAGACACCTCGGCCACCCGTGCCAAAAGTGAGATAACTGCTAAGCTTGGACACAAGATAACATGTCATATTCATTTGTATATTATTAAACTCCAACATGGATAACAAATCAGAGGGACTTTTTCTGTTTTATGATCAAGACGATGGTATCTAGAGGTTCCTGAGATAATGTAATTGTATCTAACAAATTTTAAGGCATTATGGTTAGAAACACTGGAAATTTGCAGTGAAATGAACATCAAAAGTTTAACATTACAAGTGTTTTTTGTCAATTCATTCTTAGATTTAGATGGCTGCTCACAAACTTTCAACCCATATACAGCCAAGCAAGTTGAGAGAAAGAGGGGCAATGTCAAGATTCTCAGGTGATAGACCAAACTCCCTGCTAGGAAGCTTCCACGGATCTGTCACAGGTTAGAAGCAATATGAAAGAATGCTTTTCTCATGTCAGATGGAGAATCACCTTGACTATACTAAGGTCTACATAGAGATGCTACTGCATGGAAGCAGATTAACCCTCTACCTCCATTAGCTCTGTATCATTACAGCCCAATGGAAGATAGGGGGATAAGAGGTTAACAATTCAGTCAGAAGAAGCTTCTATCTATCTTGCTATGTCACTAGTTTCAATACTTTTTCTTTAGAATGGATTTCCATGACAAGCGCCTACTCCCTGCACCGAGTGATGACTGAGAGTCTGTCTCTGAATCGGGTTCGGTCGAAGGTGGAGGAGGAGGCGGACTTTCTTTCACTTTCCTGAGATGTATATATGTACTTTAACACACACCAAATACACAATTTGTTAGATCACCTGCTGGTTGACTAAACACTTTATCTACTGCTAGGGTGATGTCTGTTGTGCTTCCATAACTACTACTGTGTAATGGCCGTCTAATCTTCTGTAACATAAATCCACAAACCTTTCAAGAATATTTGGCATGTTTATCTGAATTCATACTGTGAGTGAGTACGAGTTTACACCGCTTTTAGCAATATTCCAAAACTATCAGAGTGGGGAACATCAGAAATGGGCTTCACACATGTGAAGCAATCGAAGCCACGTTTTCGCTGTGACGAGTAAACGCTTTAACCACTAGACTACCCCACTGCACCTTGTACTGTCTTAACCAAGAAAAATAAATGAGAAAATATAGAGCTTACCTTGAACCAAGCTAAATAAACCTTTATTGACTAACATTCATAGGAAGACATGAACAGGAAAGGTTCATAAAATGCTGACATAGGAGGAAAATCTTAAATCAAATACTTAATCACATATAAATCACACAATTTCTGTGTGACTACTATAGCAAGGATGCTTGACAACAGCCAGGAACTATAGTAATAAAAATGCTGCCTGGTACCCCCGGTATTTAAAAAGAGTTGTTTTCAATAAATTGTTACTAATTTGTTATCCAACGGGTTTCTTAGAAATGCCCATCAAACAAACAAATATTATATTACACAACACCAATCAACCATTTGTCATGTTAACAGAATCAAACCATTATAAAACAATAAGATTTTATTTGTGCTGCTTGATAAGACTATGGAGCCTTTGTACATAAAATGTGGATGTACTCGTATCTTAGGAATACTCATGATGTACATGTGGTTCAATCTAATCCTTGTATTTCTGTACATCCATATACAAAAGCCTGTGTATCATTAAATACGTTCTCTCAATATAACTACATGTGTTTACTATAATGACAGACTGTCTTAGATCATCCTACCTTAATATACCAGTACAACATTCAGATGTATCAACTTGTCCACAGTTCTCTGTCCCTATATAGAAAGGTGTGTCTGTACATGTTCTAGGGAAATACTCACTCTTGTTTAGAATTGATGAGCAGTATGGGTCTCTTGTCATTCATCTCCTGCTTGCAGTAGTCTTCCAGGGACAAGAATTTGGTGCCTGGCTTCAGCTGACCGGCATCAAAGAAACCATCTTCTATCAGGTTCCCACTACCTACAGACATAACACATGTCCTGATAACTCATTCTCCAGTGGGATATTTATTGCAGGGGCAGACCCAGAGGGGGTGGGGGTCTGTGCACCCCCACAGCCACCATCATCCCCTCACCCACACCCCCAACCCCTCACCCACACCCTCACCATCATCCTCACCCACACACCCACCCCACCCACACCCTCATCCACACCCACGCTCTCACCCTCACCCACATCCTCACCCTCACCCACACACCCATTCCCACACCCACACACCCTCACCCACACCCACGAAAAAATATTCCCTGAGGAGCATTTCTCCCTGACCTTTGGTCTTCATGATTTATGTGCACCCTGTTCTCCAAAATACTGGATCCACCCCTGTATTGAATGTGTGTTTATCGTTTAACACCAGATTGTTATATTCCAGCCATATGATGGCAGACATTGAATAATCCAATGTTGACCATACGAGCCAGTGATTGACATTGTGAGCAAAGATCTACATCATAGGATATGATGGCAATCAATGAACCAGATCACACCCCTGACCACCCAATCCATATGTTGGCCTCTTATGACAGACACAGCTTGCTGGCGACCAACTCTAACCCAGAATAGCCACAATGATACACTTGCATTTCTAAGTTGACTTCATGAATTCCCAGACACATACTGAACTACTAGAAGCACACACTGGTAAGTGTGGACACAGGATTATAACAAATTCCACAAACATTCCTCAAACTACCCCACATGAAAGTATGTTCACTTTTTCTCAAAAAGAACAGAAAGAATTTTTACACCCTGATAGTAGACATGTTTAACAGAAAGTAAAAAGTTATTGCCCAGGAATTAATAGGATTTAATACCTGAATAAAAACCACCAATCAACGTATGACTAATTACAGAGAACTGAATCATGTATCAGGCTATGTTGTCTATAGTACAGGTCATACATAGCAAACAGAATGATTGACTTCCTTCAGCTACTGAAACCTTGACATAACCTGACAGACATCCAGTCAACCTTCTGATGAGTAGTCAAACTAGGGTTGACAATAACACATATTATCCTCCAGTTGTTTGTGACAGGTGTGTGTGTACCTAGATGTCCCGAGAGGGCGTATTTAGCAGACAGGTTGCTGTCTAGCAGTCTGTCAAGTGCAGCATCTGTGAAGGGACTGCGCCGTGTGCTGGACATCTGAATCTGTTGTAGAACATCCAGGCCACTGGAACAAAACCACACACATCTAGAACAGTCCACCACTGGAGCCATGTTTAACATGACTGGAAGCACTGACAGGTTGCAGGGGAGACATTATAGCTTGGTTTACTGGTTTGGTTTTGAAAATCATGGGTCACATTTCTCAAAGCAAAAATGTAATTTTTGGAGTAAAATTGATATTTTATACTTATCCTGACTCATGCTCTTTTTGCTTGTCTTCTTCTTCTTGCGAACATAGTGGAACACTTGTATCTCCCTAATTGAAGCTCCCTTCAATTTAAAATCACTAATTAGTATTCACCACGAGTTACCTCCTTTTCACAAGCGCGGGAACGAGGGCGCCACCTCTACCCATGTGCCTCACTCTCTCCTCATATACTGAGCCCAACATTTGAATTTACAGGGAAATCCAAAGTGTTATTTGGGGAGGATGGGAGGGCTGACCTCATGAGTCAGGATAAGTATAAAATATCAATTTTACTCCAAAAATTACATATTTTTCCTTATCCTGACTCATGCTCTTGCTTGTAGCATCCTACGGACGGAGGTGGGAATATCTAATACTTTGGATTTTTAATAATTAGTGATTTGAACTGTGATGATTGTAATAACCCTATGGGAACTTCATAAAGGCACTGAACTGATGAATTCCTGCTGCTAACTTATCAGCTGCCATATAAAGGTTATTATCATGTACTTATTATGATAAAGTATATATAACATTAATACAATGCTTAAGACTAATAGACTTAAGCTTGTTAATATGCTAGTATAAACTCCTTAGAGTTTGTTAGCTAAAATACTTTAAGATATAACATAGTACTAAGCTTAAGATATGATTAAACTTAAGCTAATTATATAATAGCAAACTCTTTAGAGTTTGTTAGTTAATATACTTATATGATATAGATATAATGCTGAGCTTAAGATATGAATAAGCTTTAGCTACATATATAATAGCAAAAACTCTGTAGAGTTTGTTAGCTAATATATTTTTATAATATGAGTATAGTACTGTGCTTAAGCTATAATTAACTTAAGCTACATATATAATAGCCAAACTCTGTAGAGTTTGTTAGCTAATATATTTTTATAATATGAGTATAGTACTGTGCTTAAGCTATAATTAACTTAAGCTACATATATAATAGCCAAACTCTGTAGAGTTTGTTAGCTAATATATATTTATAATATTAGTATAGTACTGAGCTTAAGATATAATTAACTTAAGCTACATATATATAGCAAAACTCTGTAGGGTTTTGTTAGCTAATATATTTTTACAATATGAGTATAGTAGTGTGCTTAAGATATAATTAACTTAAGCTACATATATAATAGCAAAACTCCGTAGAGTTTGTTAGCTAATATATTTTACAATATGAGTATAGTAGTGTGCTTAAGATATAATGAACTTAAGCTACATATATAATAGCAAAACTCCGTAGAGTTTGTTAGCTAATATATTTTACAATATGAGTATAGTATTGTGCTTAAGATATTATTAACTTAAGCTACATATATAATAAGCCAAAAACTCTGTAGAGTTTATTAGCTAATATGTTTATAGTGTAACCATAGTACTAAGCTTAAGATAAGATTAGACTTAAGCTAAAAGTATATAGCAAAATAAACTCCTTAGAGTTTATTAACTAATATACTTTTATGTTAAAAACATAGTACTGAGCTTAAGTTATGATGAAACTTAAGCTATATATATATAATAACAAAACTCCGTCGAGTTTTGTTAGCTATCTGCTATAATGTAAACATACTGCTTAAGATATGATGAAACTTAAGCTAATTGTATAATGTGAAAACAACCCTTTAGAGTTTGTTAGCTATGATATAAACCTAGTATTGAGCTTATGAAGGAAAACTTAAGCTACATATATATAATAGCAAGAACTCCGTAGAGTTTGTTAGCTAATACATGTTATAATGTAACCATAAAGCTTAAAATATGATGAAACTTAAATGAAATATATAATAGCAAAACCCTCTTTTAGAGTTTTGATAGCTAATATACCTATATGATATAAACATAGTATAAGCTTAAGATATGAATAAGCTTAAGTTACATATATAATAGCTAAAACTCTGTAGAGTTTGTTAGCTAATACATGTTATAATATAACCATATTGCTTAGAAATATGATGATACTTATAGCAAAAACTCTTTAGAGTTTGTTAGCTAATCTACTTATATGATATAAACATAGTACTAAGCTTAAGATATGAATAAGCTTAAGCTACCTATATAATAGCAAAACTCCTTAGAGTTTGTTAGCCAATATATTTTAATAATATGAGTATAGTACTATGCTTAAGGTATAATTAGCTTAAGTTACCTATATAATAGTAAAACTCCGTAGAGTTTGTTAGCTTAATTAACTTAAGCTATGTATAAAATAGCCAAAAACTCTGTAGAGTTTGTTAGCTAATGCATTTATCATGTAACCATAGTATTACTCTTAAGATATGAATAACTTAAGGTAAATATATATAATAACAAACTCTGTAGAGTTGTTAACTTATATATTGTATGATGTAATAATCATAGTACTGTGATGATAAAAGGAACTTAAGTAAATTATACATAGCATGAAGCTATTTAGTATTGTTATAAGATAAGTAAAATCTGTTAGATTGACTTATCTTCTCGAGAACTATCAGCTGTTGTGCGAGGACCATGGGATCGAATTGGTGTATACCTGAGACGTCCTCGGTGGTGATATCTCTCAGATAATGGTTTGCAACCACCATATCAGTTTCAGAAATAACCCTCCATTATTTCAATCACATTTGTGTAGAACAATTGTAGAAGTTAGCGCTATAATATCATGAGTATTAAGCTCATGGAGGGTCGGAATAGGTCCATCCGCATATGCACGTAGTATGACAGTTCTGATCCAAATGGAGATATAGTACATGAGACTTCACTCTGCGTAAGTTGATGATAGAGGAAATAATCTGTTGCATTTTTTCCTCCTGTTTGGTTTGGTGGAGATAAATTTACAGTGCTCTTGCTGGCCAACTTGATAGAATCATCGTATCATGGGGTCCAAGTATGTCATCAGGCGTGTTCATAAACCTCACTTGTGAGGTGTTGGAACACTATATTCATATCCCAGGTTGGGCGTGAAATTTCCGTTTTATTCTCCAAACAGAAGTTTAGTAGGTTTACTAACCATCTAGTTGTGTTAGTCGCTTGATGAAATTCAGCTGTAGTCTGAAGCGCTGTGGATTTAGATCCACTTGTATCTTCGTCTAGGTAATTAAGCTGCGAAGTCCTTGACGATGTAGGTGCACAACCAGGTGTGTCTGTCCTCGTTGAACTTTATGTAAAATCGCCTGACTGCCGATCCCTCGTCTTAACTTGACAGGGGAGGTCTCTAACTTGAAGAAAGGCAGTCTAATCATGAATGTTCAGGTTAACTGGACTGTAATGAGGCTTGCTCGTTCACTGATATATAGTTGTCACTTGTGACGTAAGTCTTGAACTGTGAATTGAGATCGACCTCTGTGTAGGTCGTTGTCCCTCGCGGTCCAATCAGAACAAGGCATTTTGATTCTGTATAATACCCGCGCTGTGATGTCACCGGTGTAGCGGGAAAAAACCCACCTTGAATAAATTCTTGTCGTCGTTGATATTAGCATAAACGTCGGTCTTCACCGTAGCTTCGAAGTTATCCGAGTGACCACGTGTTTCGAGGGTTAATGGTAATCGCGCGAAAACCTCCGGCGCGAAATATCTCGCTCTGTAATTTTATGCTGGGTAGGTTATTTTCCTGGTTGTCGTGAAAGTAATTTCAGTTTTGAATATAATTCCGACTTCCTTATATATAAGGGTATAAACAACTTGCAAGTTGTGAGCTTGTAGACTGTATACATGAATGTATCGTCATAATTGTAGAATTAACGTTGAACTTGTTGTACATATTTCTTCTCAGAAACTTTGACGATTAAGAGTTATACTCGCTGTAACAAGGCTGCTGTTCAATTTCGATATTGAATTGTCTGCAGATATGCGTAATGGTCGCATGTAGATAATCGTATCGTCGTCCGGGATTGTATATTAGCAATTTATACGGAATAGTTGATTTCTGTGAAGATCTATGAAATGTCGTTGACTATTAATACAGCGACGTTCTGTGTTGTAAATAGCCTGAGCAATTATCTTCGCGTAGGCTTATAGGCGGCATCTGGCATACAGTTGATAATCAACTTATGCGGCGTCTTGAACGGACTGACAGTAGCTATATATGACGAGTGGCTAGTATATGGAAACCTTGGAGGAGACTTCCTCGGTGAGCGCCGGAGACTTCGCGAAGTTCTCGAAGTATCCCTTCTAGATCTTCTGGGTGAAGTAGACTTGGAGCCACTTAGCCTTAGCGACCATCGCGAAGGTGTCGAATCAAAGCCCGATTAGTATATATATATATATATATAAATATATATATGCGCTTGCTTCGTGAACAGCCTCTGTGTTTAACAGGATGTGGGATCGGCGAAGCGCTTGCCTAAGTAGGGCCGCATGGATCATCTTATCATATTCAGAAGTCGTGTTACGAAGTCTGGTGATAAGTGTCTAATTGATCGTTCTAGATCTATTTAGGCCAGCGAACATACGTCTCGTCATGGATTCAACAGAACCAATATACGATTGTAGTTCTTATACTTGATATCGATGATCAACTTGTCTATGGGTTGATCTTCTCGGAGACTTGTGAGGGGAGCGTTGATAGTTTCGCGAAGCTCTTGTATAGTCCCTCGATGTCCTTCTAGATGATGATGATCTGGATTCAGGTGTCCGCCGGCGCATGCCTTCGCGAAGCTTCCTCTGCGTCGGTCGGGGAACGGCGATATGACCTTCGCGAAGGCTTCCGTGATGTCTGATGGTCGAGTCCACATCTAGGGATGAAACCGCATAAGGTGATGATCTATCCTGCCTTCGCGAAGTCCTTCGCGAAGGCTGTCTATCTAGGTTCTTTCCGCCTTCGCGAAGGCTGTACATCTAGGTCCTTTCGCCTTAGCGAAGGCCGCGAGGCTGTACATCTAGGTCCTTCGTCAAGGTGGTCCGTGACTTCCAGCCAGCGAAGGTGACATCGTCCTGGCTGCTACGTTGGCGGGGGTGCCTCTGGGGTGCTGTCTACGTTGGAGCCTTCGCGAAAACTCGGACCCTGCTACGCAGATATAGTGGTCCTCCATGATGTTCATAATTTGTCGCATCATGTCTTCTGGGATGGTCTGCGGCGAGGTCGTCGGTGCTTTATCTGCGGTGTTAATGGAGGTCCACACGGAAAATCGTCCGACATCAGTGTAGAGGCATCAGGCTGCATGGTGATCTCTGCTGATGTCGTTGTAGCTAATCACCGGTCGTTTCTTGTGGCGTACGTCGGGGATGATGATCAGCTGATCATCGTAGAGGTCCAGGTCATCGGCTGGAACAATCTCGGTTGAAAGTCCTAGTAGACCGTTGATTTTCCCTCAGAGGTCGGCGCTGCCCTGGGTGTGCGGCGTCTGCGTTGAGTGTTGGTAATGATGGGACCCTCAGGACGATCATCGCATATCTGCGTTGGTACATCAGGCTGCATGCTGATCTGAGCCGACATCGGTCAATCTTTGATGTACTGGTAGAAAAACCCTCTAGTCTTCTGCTGCGACGATGGGATGTCTGGGGAAGCAGGATGCTTCTTGGAGATGGCGGACTACGTCCCACACCTCTCCACCACTCTAGCGGAACACCACACGGGAGGGGAGTCGGCCAACAGCAGTAGACTGGCGAGGGTTCGGTGTATCAGTCATACTAGAGTCTGCATCGCGACCTATCTGCTGTGCGTGCCAAGCGCAAAGTAAATATTAATAAAAGGTAGAATTGGATAAATTAGTACGCAACTGCAATGTGAATATAATAAACATGGCGCCGTACATCATATTAAAGGCGGATCAGCAGCAGCATAAAAGCGTAATCTGCAATAGTACAGAATTTTCATCAGCGTAATCCACTGAAACAAACACGGCGTCCCGTGAATAAACTGTAGAAAAACGACTAAATATCAATATATAATCGTTGAAGGATACTAGCTAAACCTCTATAGATGTCTATACGAGGGTAACTAACTAAATATATTTCAAAGGATATAGTGTGTCGGGAGACACAGGAGCTCTCGTCCAGCTCAGCTCACGAAGAAGGGAGAGAGTGAGGCACATGGGTAGAGGTGAAGCCCTCGTTCAGCTTGTGAAAAGGAGGTAACTTCGTGGTGAATACTAATTAGTGATTTTAAATTGAAGGGAGCTTCAATTAGGGAGATACAAGTGTTCCACTATGTTAGCAAAGAAGAAGAAGACAAGCAAAAGAGCATGAGTCAGGTAATATAAAAAAATATTTCCTGGAGTCTCAAATAGCTCACAAGGCTCTCAGGGTTCACATGCTCTGTTCATTATGTGAAATGAAAATATAAATAAGATGCAACACAGAAGTGTCCTTGAAAGTCGCAGTGAAGCAGACAAGTGTAATGTTGTGTTGGTAAAACAAGGCTGCAAGTCTCACCTCTGTCCGGGCATCAGCATCACACACAAAGGCTGCCAAGGCTAGAGCTGCTTTGCTCTGGACATTTGTGTTGCTGAAATGATGAAAAATAGGCAAGTTTCTGAATTCAGTTGATCTTTGAGAATATACAATGACTATTTGATATAGAGCCTAACAACAGATGCCATCATCTTATTCTGGCCATCACATTTACACTACTTCCTCCATGACACCCTGGGGTTCAACCCTACTGACCTTCAACTTTCTGTGACCTAATAGATCACAGAGGTGGTTGTGAATCCTATGAAAGTCTGTAACACTATGGAGTGTATCGCTTACCTGGACTTGAGCGGGTCTATGAGGGAGGAGACGACAGCACGGTTGAGACACTCGATACGGAGCACCTCCTCCTGAGCTAGGTTGGTGAGGACGCTGGCAGTGTTGGCTACAGCCTCTTCCCGACTGTCGGACAACAACTGGATCAGAGGGTCTAGGCCATTCAGGTTCAGCATCTCACTGGAAAACATCACATGCATGGTATACACAATCATTAACTGGCTATATAAACCTATCTCAGTGACCTCCCAGTATGTTTCAACAATCCCCCCAATGGGGAGAATCAAACTGTGACCACCTCTATAACAAGCTGTCACATAGGGATAACAAGATTGCTGATGACAGTGAAATCTGAATAAAAGATACGAGAAAGGTTTACTACCCCTGCCAAAAAGTTCCATATCTATCTCAGCAGTCTGTAAACAATCAATTGAGAACCAGACAAACCCACAAACCAGTGGATGACTGCCTGAACAATGATGTATCCAATCTGGATATGATGACACAGCCAGGTCAGACATTGTGACCTCCTAATACTCATTTAACTACTCACATCTTATATCCTATTATGAAACGCCTGAGGTACTGGGAACCCATCTGACCTTGGATCCCCATGAGGTGAGGGTTACACTACCCATTCTAGACAATTTTACTCCATCATAACTAAGTATACCCAGTAAGTGGCTACTGCAATGCAACAAGAACACAGTACAATAACTGACTTGCAGTTCGTGGAGTTGGCCGTGGTGAGGTTGGCGAGAGCTAGTGTCACTGATTCCTTCACGTCTCCGCTCTCCGAGTTGAGCAGCTTGATCAGAGGCGCCAGCCCCTCTGAAAATAGAATATACACCTTCAGGTATCAACCTTTCTCACAGACCATTCTGACAATCTTTAATGCTATTCTTGGGCAAGTACATCAGCAAAAGTAGCAATATATTTTGGGAATAGTAAGATTACTGTGTACGAGTGAGTGAGTGATATCAGTTTTATGCCGCAATATTCCAGCTCTATGGCGGCAGTCTGTAAATAATTGAGTCTGGACCAGACAATCCAGTGATCAACAACATGAGCATCGATCTACATAATTGGTATACGATAACATGTGTCAACCAAGTCAGCGAACCTGACCGCCTGATCCCGTTTGTCGCCTCTTACGACAAGGGTTACTGAAGATCAATTCTAACCCGGGCCTTTACGGGTCCACTATGTCCACTACAAACATATAACAGTGGATTCATTGAAATTGCCTGATTGTAGTTACACCTTGCAGCAGTTGTGTCTATCAACATCTCATTAAAAACAACATCAGTGTTGTGGTAGTTATTATCAAAGTTTTGGATCAAATCTGTACAAATAAAATTCATTGTGCACTTTATATATTAAAGTGAAGCCATTATGTTCTATAAACAGAAACAAGTAAATGCAGTGGGGCAAGTGACTGACCCCACTCTCGGATGGAGTCTCTGCTGCTGAGGTTCTCACACATGATGGCAAGAGCCTGGGCTGCTGCACTCTGTACGTCCACCGACTCATGAGACAGCAGGTGAATCAACATCTTCTCAGCCTCCTGCTCATGTAGGATCTTACGGTTCTCCACTGAAAAGGGGAGGTAACACACTGTTATGCAGGAACTGGCTTTATGATGAAAAACATGTATGAGAATCTTTTTTCCATTTCAAAATAAGAGTGTATTAGTTTCCTTACTTGGTAGTTAACAATTTTATGCTACAACAGTCACCATCAGGGCATCATGACATTCAGTTCAGCCACAGAGGACCCTCACTCACACCATCTGTGAGTCATTGTCCCACACTTCTATGGCAGGATGATACACTCCAGTCATAATCAATTTTTAAAACAGTGTGATAAAAATGTTTACTGACCATTGCGTGCTGACCGAGCGATGGCTCTAGCAGCACTCATCTTGACATCTGGGAGAGTGGGGATGATGGAATCTCCCCCTGGGGACTGTTCATCCTTCTCCTCAGTTGCCTTCTTGGCTGCATTACAGAATGGACAAATTGCCAATGGAATCCATAAAATATCACAGCACAGACAACATTAGGGACAGTTTATTTCAATCCGTTTCTGGTATGTTTGCCATTTCAGGTAAATGAGAATGTGGTAAGAATAATTTGAGGAGGAAACTATAAATGATGAAATGTTTTACTATTGTGTGTTAAGTTTTGTGTCATCAGTGAAACTGACCCTCTCCCTTAGCACTCTTCTTGCCAGCTCGTGACCCCGCCTTCTTGTCTGCCTTGCCCCCTTTTGTCTCCTCCTCCGCAGGGGGCTGGTCAGTGATGATTGCTACAAGCCTCTTCAGACCACCTGTCTCTTTGATTTGCTGGATAACGAAATATATTACATAGCATTAACAATTTTACACCACAAAACTGATTGCCGAACCCAACATATTCCTTAGACAGAGATCAATTTTATGCATGTGCCTACGGATGACCAAAATACGTAGTCATTTAATTATTGACATCTTAGAGTTTTACCTTTACAGAACTTTACACTTGTAGCATTATGTCTCTCGTATTATGAACCATTGATGTTTATATATTGAATTTGGGCAAATGGCACAGAGAAAGATATGATATTTCAGGTAAACAAATTGGGGAATTCTGACTGTAACTTGGCTTTGACTTCTGGGTGTGACTGAGTGAGATGTTTGGCCCTTGGGCAGGACAAGAAATCGCTTCATCCAATTCTACATCATAGCCTAGGCCTGTGTGTTTCAGGCCAGATTACAATATGTTAGGTTGGATGAAGCAGGTGATGAGCAACACCTACCTCCAGACTCTCCACATCCTCCAGCAGATTGGACAAAACCATCACCGCCATCACATGCAGGTCATTCCACTCCGGGTGAGCCAAGAAGCTGATCAGGTGGGAGATGGCTTCAAGCTCTCTCAACGAGGCTCTATTTTCAGCTACAAATAGAAGCTAACATAAGACCTGACCAGTCAACATTCCCCTTTGAATATCACAATTTAGAACCACAGTTGCCTATTACACAGATCCAATATCTCAAACATTCAGTTGTGATACCAAGAGTATTTATTGAAGGAAAAGATGTTTGGCAGTAAATTCAAATATTGTATACATGAAGGGCAACAGAAAATCCTTCTATTTTTCCAGCAGGATCTTAGATAAAATTCTGATTTCGACATTCACAACAAACAGATTACAGGAATTAGACACAGTTGACCTACCATCCTGTGATGACCGATCTAGAGACAGGAGAGTCAGTTTCTGAATGATGGTGTACTCGGACTTCAGAAGGTCTAGCATTGGTTGGAGACCATCATACTCCCGCACGGCGCCTCGTGTCTGGTAGTCCTATATACATCATAGACAGATGGTAATGATGAACACGACATATTAATAATAGCAATAAAAACTACAATAGTAGCAAGAAGATGTTAAACAAAATTATCAGCTGTCTATTACATTCTTACAATCCAACCCAGCTGTGTCAACCATTGTACCTCCCTAACACTATCTACATTTATAGCTATTGAAACCTGGATGTCAACTTCCCTCCTTACCTTAAACTTAATGTAACGTCCTAATAATTTTGAAATCAAAAACTTACCCTAAATCTTACTCAGTTTTGACAAAAGGACAACTTAGCACAAGAATATGTATCAATTACACTGATACAAGATACCCATGAAACATGGGAGACAGGAATGGGAGGAAATTGGTAAACACAGCTGAGCAATCTAGTAAAGTGTCTAGCTTAACCACAAGCTTTCCAAAACTGTATCATTGCAGCATTTTACATTCAATTTATTTGTATGTTACTAGTCACAAGGACATTCAAATGACATCAAACTCATTACAAGTCTTGCATCACACAACACCATAATTACAAAATACTAACAAGTAACATCTGGGCAAGAGCTTCAATGGCATTTTTCTGGACATCAGGATCTGTGGAGGATAGACATTTGACGAGGGGTTCGATGCCATTATTCTCGAATATGGAGACCTTTGTGGAGAACTCTGTGGCCATGTAGGACAGAGCCAGGGCAGCAAACTCATGGACGACCGTGTCCTCTGGGGAAACACAACACACAGGACATACAAACTCACATCTGTCTCAAAGATGTAGTAATTTATAATTTATGCATTAGTCTAAGTTGCTTAAAAAAATGAAGACTGTTATCGATCAATCACAACAGTAGTTACCAAATCACCTATTTGCACCCAATTTTCACATCTTCCTCTTCAAGTACAGAGGCTAAATTTCAATTCAAAAACAAATTCAGGAACAAAGAATTGGTGACTTGTAGAGTGTGTCAACAACTACTATAAATAGCCTGATATCTGTTATATACACCCTGTCTTACCTTCTGGTTGCAAGAGGTTGACGAAAGCAGCTATGGAATCATCCCTCTTTCGTAATAGTTTCCTCACATCAGCTGAAGACAAAAGGGTTCAGCATTGAGAGACAATACATATCTATAGGGGCAAGTATATAGGTACAATTATTTTCAATAAGTTTTAAAAAGCATCATAACTTATGCTTAAACATACTCAAAACTTGGAATAATGAATTAGCAGTACTACTCACTCTCATTTTCCTAATTCAATTCAACATATCTTGATCTACAAGTAACCTTGTTCTACATTTGAAACAGAGAATGTTTATTTCTTAATTATACACCCTTATGATTAACCCTGAATAATTGGTTTTGTGCTGGCCTTGTGCTAGCCTATGTCAAGGCATTACTTAACCATTTACAAGATACAACTATACATCTAAAACAAAGCCTTTGTGTGCTAACAGATTAACACATTTACCATAAGCTATCATCTACTCCATATGAAAGCAACTTACGATGTGCACACATTACTCCCAGCGCCATGCAAGCATTGCGTCTGACAGTTCTGTCCTCTCCTTGGACCAGTCTCAGTAACGGATCAATGGAATCAAGGTCTAGTAATGTCTTCTTGTTCTCATCACCTAAATATATAAACACGGTACTGTATCTGTCAAACACAGGGTGGTACCATCATGACAAAGTGCTTTACCTGTCAAACATGATGCTATAACTGCAGTCATTTACATATACATATTTTCAAATGAGCCCTTCTGATATCTCAAGAGCCATGCTCTAAACTTGGTATTGCATAAGAATTAGATCAGATTCTTGTGGTAAATGGTGATTTAAGCAAGCTTACATGAAGGCATGTTATCATGTATCATAAACACAGTTATCTCCAGACTTCATTAAAGCTTCCTCTCAAGAGTCTGGTTATCTGAAAACATTAATCTTGTTCCTCTACTTTAAGGGAACAATAAAAGAAAATGGTTCATTATTCTGGGGTTCTGTAGAAATATCTTACATTTATCAACAAACTTGTAGATGGCTTCACATGCCTTAGACTGCACATCTTCCTCTGGACTGTTGAGCATCAACACAACTGTGGCTGCCTGCCGGCTCTCAACCAGGATAGTGTCAAACTAAACAGAAGTAAACAGTTTGGGATCGGATATTACTTATAATTAATGTATCAAAAAAAAGGTCATTTGTTACAGGGTTTGGACAGAAACTGTGTTTTGATGTACTAATATAGTGAAAATATATGGGATCACATAGGCTGGTAGAAATATTTCAGGCTGATGTTGTAAAATCTAGGTTCAGTCAAAAGACAATGAAATCAACAAACTGAAAAAAATAATAATCAGTAAAAAGTTACATCAGCTGATCCATATTCGTAAAGGCATCCAATAACACTCACAATACCTCACCAAAAGATATGTACAAAGTCTGTATATGATTTGTACTTACCACATCCTCTGGAGGAGCTTTCTTGTCTTCTTTCACTTTCTTTCCCATTATGAAACTAATACAGAAAAAATATCTCATAAACACTGCATGGTTTTACAATGCTTTATAGAAACATATGTTAAAGAACATCTCAGAAACATAAAAGATATTCATATTTCATTCATTTACAGACATAATAGACGTACAGAACTATATGTCTGATCAATAATAACTGGGTACCAAATTAAGTCTAGATATCTAAACAGAAATTTCTTATACTATATTGGGCTATTATTTTTCTTATTAGCTGAAGTAGAAATTTTGCATAAAATTTAATGTCATAATTTGCAGCAGTTGTAGAACTAAACGTAATGATACTGGTGTATATGCGTCTGATGATACAGATAAATGTCACCATGCCTGAATAACCAGATGACAGTTCTACTTTAAATAATCATCACCGAACGTCCCTATAAACGGCATAAATATGCACTGACGGACTTGCTGACTTTCACGAAACCTATACCTATTTAATAAAAGTTTTACGAACTATCCAGTCGATATTTCGATAAAAGCAGAAACGTTCCTTCCTTTCGAATGAGATATTTGCTAAATTACACACTCGTCTGCATCAAGCAGAACATTTACTTGACCTGTACACACGAACTCTTGAAGGATATTCGTGTGATCAAATGATAAGCAGACGAAATCTCGAATCCAAAAAAGATCTACCGCATGACAACAGTGCGTCTACGTTCTCACTCAGTTACAATTATCGTCCTGTATGAGTCCCTAACACACGCTGCAACATCTGAATGCGATGTTATGAAAACGAGCCCACAAACATGTGCTGTGCAACAAGACTTACCGAACCAAACAGAAAACAATCCCCAAAGAGATGTTTTCAGGTTTGGCGGAAGTTAGGTGATGCTGTTGCTATATGACGCGACAAAACAAGTGCTCATACACGGATGACGTCAATATACTATTCTAGCAACGACAAGCTTTATCGAAGACTTTTATCTCAAATGGTACATCCCGGGGGGGGGGGGGGTTATTACGTTTATATTTCATCTTAACTTTGGTTCATGGTATCAATAAAGAGCCGATTTATTTATCAACGAAGGAAAACACACGCGTTTCATGGCAATGTTATAACATTAACATTACTTTTTCTTCAACAACTACTAGTGTCTGCAAAATTCTCTTTTGTACGTGCCAATAACGAATACTCCACAAAATAATTCATTAATGTTGTTGTTGTTGTTTTACATTACTTCCATTAATTTATTCATACTGTCTGAACTTATTGAAAAGTTCTATATTATGTGCTGTTGGGGAAATACCACTAAGCACCTTGTCTGGTTCCTCCCTTTGCGCGCGCTAACGTTCGCCAAAGCTATATTGCGATATGCGAGACGAGGCCCAGCTTAGTCTTTGATCCGGACCAACAAGACCGAATCAGACCTGGTTATTGGCGAATGCACTGTCACGTTAATGACGTTTTCACGTTTATCTAATTTTCACAACTCATTGCTACAAAAAGGTGAAGAAAATCAATAAAAAGACGTATGTCTGATATTGAACGTGTTCTTGGAACGAGTTAAGTAAAGAAAAAGTACATGCACGTTCAAATATTTGGTGCGCATTTCCTAGTCAAGCTTTATAATGTTTATGTGGTTAAGGGATGGTGGAGTGAAATTCCACCGGAAAAAATACTCAAGACAGAGAAAATGGTCCTGACATTTAGTGATGATGGCACATTATTAGGGACAAAACTGACTCCAATTTCGGAGAAACAAAAACAAAATCCAGAAGATATTTTTCAATATTAAGAGACTGGTGTTCACTCATGATTGTACATACAGAAAGTGGTCAGATGTAATATGTAACACTTTCTCAGTAAAGGACAGGTTCTAGTACTTTTATTGGGTTGAGTCCCTTCCGGGATTCGAACCATCACTCAAAGAGGCAGGCTTTTCACTTATCTTGGGGACACACCTCATAGACCTTCTATTCTCATGTAACAGTTAATTGGCAGTGCCCAACACTCAGAGAGAGTCTCCAGGATGTACAAAGGTAAAAATGTTCAGAAATAAATTGATTGCTACTACTCCGAGGTGAAAAACATTTTAGATATTTCCAAAGCAAAGTAAAAACAACTATTTGCCAAATGCCAAGTAAACCCAGAATAGACGAAACGCAAGCTGTTTAACAATCCGAGTTGAAGGTGGTGGCGTCAGAGGGCACGCTAAAAATTTGCCATTGTTTGAAAAAGTGAAAATTGATAGGAATTCCTCAAAGCCCCGAGTACACAACTTTTAAAACCAGCAAACTATATTAGTTATGTCTTGAGTCGAATTTTTTTCCACTCAGTACGGTGACATCTGAGGACATCACTCCGCATTTTATTCATCAAGTTGATGACGACTGCACGTGCTGCACGCGCGGCACTTGCAGGAAGATACCCGACGTGTCCATTTCAACTTGGAGGTTGTTGATAACGGTGTAATTGATTTCATAGCAGATCTCAAAGTTGTTTCTTCGAAGCTTGTTTGTAGTCTGTCGCAGTGGATTACGGATAACGGCCAAAAAAGTCATCACCAAGGCGTTCAAACTTCGAAGCAAATGCCGAGGTAAGTTATGTTATATTTGATGGAGACAAACAGATGGTTAATTTTTACGTTTATCATTTATCTTTAAAGATACATTTTACATAGAAAACACTGGGGTTTTATTTACAACACTACAATTAGATTAACAAAAAAATAAATCACTTTAAATTCAAACAATATTATGTGCTTTATTGGCACGAATAGATTTATCAAAGGAACACAACTCCTCCTGCCTTATCTTCACATAATGTTGGCTAAGTCGCCCGTAAAATCTAAAAGCATAATTGAAAATCATTGATCTTGATTACCATGTTTTGAAACCAAACTTCTATGTAAATAATGGTATGTTAAACAAACTAAAACTATGCTATATTTTACTGAGATAATTCTTTTTCTCAAAATGATAAGTTCTGCTCAGCACTTTCGGATATCCTGTTATATTAATATATTTTCTTGAGACAAATCACAATTTGTGTCTTTTCCGTTATGAATAGCTTTATTCATATTATATTGACAGATGAACAATGATATAATATGTCCCTTTGTCATACTCTAGAATGTGGCCCAAACTCAATAAAACTAGCCCACACAAATCTCTAAATCATTGAGACATCCTTGTCAGGGAGTTAACAGGTTTGGGCATGTGGACAAGGCATCTGGCTTTGGATTATTTTTTTTTATTATTATTATTATAGGATATTTATATAGCGCACATATCCAGGCAACTAGTGCATGCTCAAGGCACTGGTATTTTTCCCTCGATCATTGGATGTCAATCTGAACAACACATCGTATTATCAATCTCAACTCCCTGGGGAGTATACAACTCTTGCAGCCACTAGGTGCACCGAGTTATTGTGGCTTTCTCATCCAAATGAGGTACCCATTTACAGCTGGGTGGACTTTGTCCAAGTTCACTGCACATTGCTGTACCAGCAACTAGGTGTTTACACGTATTCATGTGGCCACCATCTGGTCATATACCAACGGATTTGTGGGTTCTTATAAGTGCACAGGGTTGTGTACTGTACACTAGGGGTTGTGACAACACTGAAAGAGTCTGCACACAAAGTTGACTCCAAGGTTTTTACACCTGGTCACAGGTGGGCTCGATCCCAACACCTCAACCTCGCTGGATCACTAGCCTGGCCCCATAGCCAGCTCGCCCACCGCGTCCCCATTAGAAGGTCTGAAGTTCAAATCCCAGCATGTGACTGAGAAAGTTATAGATAATTTAGTGAAACTGGCCTAGTTCATATGATTGATAGTTAATTACATCGGTACAGAAGTATCCAGCAGTCGACCAACACCTGAGTTATTTTAAGGGAAATGGCTTGTCAGTGGCTCCACAGACTAACAACTAGTCTCTGAAATGGAAATATATTACAGAAAAAAGGCTCATAATAAAAAAATATATATATAATGAAAAGGAGCCCTGAGACTTTCTTCATTGAAGCTGTGGTAGACTTGCCACATTTTCTGGACTTGCGTGGGCTTTCTTGGATATATTTGCTTCAGGGTCTGTATGACAGACTAGTGGCTCCACTAATCTTATACATGCTGTAGAGGTGAGACAACTTACACCACAACATCACAATATTAAAATTGGTCTTCAGCAACCCATGCCAGTTTTAAGTGAGTGAGTATGGTTTTACACCATTTTTAGCAATATTCCAGCAATATCACAGCAAGAGACACCAGAGATGGGCCTCACACATTGCTACTACATTGGGAATCGAACCGAAGTCTTCAGCATGACGAGCAAATGCTTTAACCACTAGGCTACCCCACTGCTCTTCCGGTTTGAAGAGGCACCTAACAGAAAAGGAGTGGTCAGACTGGTGGTGATGCTTCATAGAGGTCGTTGTAACCGTGTTGTGAAGATTGATGCTGTTGATGTCACTCACTGAATTATCAGGTCCTGACGTGACTATTTACAGACTACCTTCATACAGCTGGAATATTGCTGAATGTGCCATTAAACAACCAGCAACCAGTAGTGTGGTCAGTTGTAGCTGAATATTTTCTAAAACTGAAAACAGCTGTACACAGTGCTCCAGGTTTCAGTTTACATAGATATGCAGCATTCCCAGCAAAATGAACCTTAATCAGTGCCATCTTCTTTTTAAGCTCATGGTTGCTAACGTCTTTGTATTAGAAAAAATAACAACAAAAACAAGCATGATGAGTTTAAAAGAAGATGGCACTGATCAAGGTTCATTTTTAAATCAGAATCCATGAAGCTACAGGGTAGAATTGGTCTAACAAAGCATGATGAGTGGCAACTGAAGGGAAGTCAAGATGGCACACTGATCAATAGCGTAGATTGATGTTCATTGTTAATCACTGGAATGGACCATGACAGGCTTCATGTAAGTGGTAGAGTTCATTGGTAAAACAACAAACAGCCAACAACAAACCAAACTGTGTCAGAGAGCCATTGGGAGTGGCAACTGAGAATTCTGTTGGGGGATGCCAGGATAGTGGATGGACAAAATGATGCACAATAATTCAAGGAATTCAGAATTGAATCAGCATGAAAATGAAAGTGACCTGGACGAACTCATTATCTAGCTCATGGTGAAATGACATTCACTGAGACTGCGGATGAATCAGGAGCATTGTTGTAACTGGCACACTTAGTTAAACATGATCTCACCTATACATCTTTATGGATGCCTTGAGGCACACCTTAAAGAAAGTACAGAGATCTTCCCTCATGGATGATTACGTTTGTGATTTGTGTATGTATTTATATGAAGCAATTACATAACCATCAGAACTTTATCACAGCAATCTACTGACTTAAAAAAGAAATTATGGACTTCTTCCGGCCAATATACACGTGGCATGCCTTGGTGTTCATGCCAAGAACCAGACCTTCATGGATTCTGATTTTAATGCCTATCAAACATCAGATCTTTCTTATGTCGTAGACCACCTCGGTGGTGTAGTGGTTAGAGCATCCACGCGGAGAGCAGAAGGTCGCGGGTTCGATCCCCGACGGCGTCATACCAAAAGACGTTAAAATATGGTACTTGTTTAGTCTTTCAAAATCTGTCATTGATGGTTGCAAGATTATAATTTTCTTCAAGTTCTGTTTGCAAATAAGGATCAGTGAAAAGTTTATAGGAAAAAATAAAATTCTCTCTTAACAATTTGGCAGTTTTGAATAATTTAAATGGTCAGCATGAGAACAACTCTCACGCTGCTTGGCGAAGCTGTGAATGCTACTGAGCCAAACTGGTACAGACTGGGGAACACATGATTTGATTATCAGACTAGGCAATGGTATGAAAATATTTAACTTGCTTTTTCCAGATTCCAGTTGAT